CCAGTCCCCATTCCCTAGTCCTGCTAGGAAGCCACCCTTTTCTAACTCCAGATTTACTCCCACCCATACCACGGTCTCCTCTCTTCAGACTATCACAGATCTATCCTACTCCCTCTCATTTCAAGTCCTACCTTCTGGCTGATGCAGAGACTCCCTGCTACCCCCTGAGGTCCCCCCATCCCTGGGCACACAAATAACTGCCTCTGGGGACCAAGGAGCCCTCTCATGGAGACACCCAGCCCCAGAAACACTCCCCGGACTCCACCCAGAGGCCCCCAGACAAATCAACAAGTTCTTTCTCCTTACACATTCTATATTCTCCCCTCCCCTATATTTGCTAGACCAGCTACACACTCCTGTGCTAGACACAAGGATCCTCCGTCCCCCAGATACTCCATCGACTTCAAACTCCACCAACCATCTGTCCCGCTCCACTCCTAGCTACCTCTGTTCTCCAAACAACCTGTACTGTTAATCCAAGATCATTCAGCAGTAGCCCCTGAGTTATCTGTCCTGAGAGCCTTCCCAGCTGTAGTCGTCTAGGTCCCTTGTCCAGTGAAGCATCCTTCCCTCCCCTGCCAGCCTCCGGACACCAAGATTCCCTACGCTTCCTCTGGAAGTCAACCAGAAGGTCCCCAGATTTCCCAGCACCAAATGCCCAAGCTGCCCCTGCCTCAAGGTTGGCCTGCCAGCCCTGGATCTCACACTCCTCCAGACCATCCTCAGACAGATGTGGGTCTCCCATAGTCCAGTCATACGGTGGTCTCCCACATCCCCTACACACTTATCAGCCAAACAACAGAGCACCCAGTCCATCAGACCCTCCCCGGCCAGACACTAGCACCCCCATTTCATCAACCCATTCCAGTACCAAATTTGAGAATTCCCAGTACCTCATCCAGCAGCAAACTCCAGGATCCTCCATCCTCAAAACTCTCCTAGTTCTGGACACCTGGTCATTCCTTCCCGAGCACTAAAACGCGGCTCCTAACGCCCAACCCACTCGCCAGGCTAGCACAGCCCCCAAACCCCTAGGATCCCCATTTCCAAGATCCTTCTCAGCCCCTGAATAGAAAATTTCTCGTTCTTCCGACTCTCTCTGGCCCCAGAAACGACGGCTTCCGGTCCCCGAGCCCCAGGCTCTACACCCCCCAGACCGTCCTCCTCTCCGAAACCAGGAGCCCCCATTCCACTATCTCCTTTGCACCAAATGCCAGGATCCACCCTCCGGTCGTCCCGAGGCCCTGGTCCCCAGATCCTTTTCAGCGGCGGGTGACGGGATCCCCCAATCCTCAGACCGTCTCCCCGACCTCGGGCGCCGGACTCCCGCGTCCCACAGCCCTTTCTCGGCCCGGACTCTGGGCTCCCCGGCCCCCGCCCCGCGCACTCTCACAATGTCCGTCCGGCCCCGAGTAGCCGCCAGGCTCCGGGTGCGGCTGCAGCCCGGGCGGCGGTGGCTGCGCGGTCCCCTCCAGCTCGGAGCCCCCCTCGGTCTCGACCTCCTCGTTGTTGTGCCCGGGTCGCCCCGGTTCGTCGTCGGCCTCGAGCTCCCGCTCGTCGTCGGGCTCCTCGGCCTCCAGCGCCGCCTGCAGCCGCTCAGCAAGCTCGGCCTTGAGGCCGCGAGTGTCCAGGCCGCGGCGCTGCAGCTCCTCGCGAAGTTCGTTCACCTTCAGACGGCGCACATCCATGGCCCGGGCCCCCGGGGCGGCCCCCGAGCCCGGCCCGGCCTTCCAGGGCTCTGTCCCCCTTAAACCTTTCCTGTCAGTAGGCGAAGGGGGAAGGGGGGGGCCCCCCACTCCAATGGCGGCGGCGGCTCAAAATGGCCGCCGCCGCCGCCTCCCCCTCCTCTGTTGCCCCGTGCGATGCAACACGGGTGCCAATTGGTCACCTCGTGAGGGCAGCGGGCGCGGGCCTGGAGATTCAGCCAATTAGAGCGCGGCTTTCAAAAGAACGGCAAAGAAAGGGCTCAAGAGCTGCCGGGGAGGAAGCGTTGGCCTACGTTGATGCCGCGGCCGGAGCGGAGGGCGGGAAAAGGAGGGAGGCGGAGCGCGCGGTGATTGGGTAGCGCCGGCGCGCTCGCTCTCGTAGGGTCAAATGAGGGAAAGGGAGTAAAGACTTGGGCCAATCAGCGACGAGATCTCAGAATGAGCGCCCTCACGGCCTTTCCTGCGCGGTCCTTTCATCAAACTAGTGTCTCTGTAACACATATCCTGATTGGTCTAGATCTCCCGCCCCTAGAGGCGTCCAAGCGGGTAAAACCACTAGAACCAATCAAATGGAGGGTCGGCAGACCCCCCCCCCCCCCCCGCTTCACTATTGCCTTTAAAAACCGGAAAGAGATGAATTCACGAAGGACCTACCCTTTGCCGTTAGGGCGGTTTCAAAACAATCTGCCCACCAATCGCAGTTGTTGTTTTATCTCACTAAAGCTAGTACGGTTGGATCGCTTTAGGAAAAGCTAACCAGATTGGCCATTTTTCAGCGGACGGCCTCACAAATCTCGCTGTAGAAGGAGGTATACGAAATAGAGATTAAGTGGATTAATTATTCTTAGCCTGGAAAAAACTCAGTTGTCTTAATGAAAAGCAACCCTTTGACTTCAGAGAGTCCTGCAGGTTTGAAAATAGAGGCTAGTCTAACAACGGGAGAAAAGTTGTAAAGGAAATGGCACCCTCTCCCCTTTGATAGTACATCTCACAGGGCGCCTCTTTCCCCGATCTGAGCTTCGCTGCCCTCTCTCTCTATGGTTGGGATCTTACGTGGAATGGGCGCTCTGCACGCGACCATAGAGCCGTCCCCCCCGGAAAGACCTCCAGAGGTTCGCGGGTCTCTACCCCAAATCCTCTAGACGCCTGTTCAGTGGACGTGGCTGTTTGGCGTCTCTACTGACAAGCTCAAACACACAGGTCCGTAGTTACGCCTCACGCTGCTAAATACAAACGCCACACAGCGTTTCACCATGTCTAACGCTGCACCACCTGTCGCCTCTAACTGAAAAGACTCAAAACTTCTGTAAGATGCACAATCGAGACACACAATGCAAACGCCCGCTGCGCATTGAGCCATACCTTCAGCCCACAAAAGCCACACACGACCTCTATTTAGACAAAGGCACACACAACACAGATAAACAAATGGCCGTGAGTCAGATCAGATGCATCAATTCAAGGGGTAATACACCAAACTGCAGTGTAGATGTGCCCACTAAGGTCCGCACACGCAGGCGGCATCTAAAGATAAAGACACACAGGACACTTACACAAGCTTACACTACGGCAACCTATACACCCAGCACCCACTCAGAAGCGGGACAGACACTCACGTGGGCCCGGAGGTTTCAGTCCAGACACCCCGCCCCACGCCCACGTCCGACTTCCTCTCTACCCCCAGCTTCCCAGAATGATTTGTTCTAAAAAAGTTTGTGGCCCGGATTGAACTGTTCTCGGTTCTCAGGAGCCGCCACCGGGGGGCGTCCGGGCGCTGCCAAGGGTTCCTCCATCTGCTCTGGACACACCCAGGAACGTGTGCCCGCGATGCGTGCAAAACACAGGGGACTTGTCTTGGCAGGAGTCCCTTTATGGGCTGGTGATTATCGGAGGTGTTCTGTGCCTGTGTTTCTATGTGAATCTGAACGTTTGGGTCTGTGAGTACCCGTTGTACTTTATATGTCTCTGAGTATTTGTGTCACTTTACTCTTTGTGTGTCTGTATCTGTGTTACTCTAGTTTCTCCCTATTCCTGGGGAGTATCTGCCTGTGCATATGTTTGTAAATATGTTTGTATCTGTGTAATTTTGTGTGTCTCTGTTACTCATGTGTCTGAATTTCAGTGTCTCTGTATTTGTGACCAGGTGTGCCTGAGTATGTCCACTAATTCATGTATCTGTTACTTTGCGGGGAGGAGTGTCTCTGTGTGACCTCGTGAGTATCTCTGTGCCTATTCCTTGCCAGGGGTTTCAGAGAGTCTGCATTTCTTTGCTTGCGTGTCTTTTTGTCTATGTGTATGTTCATCTCTACCCTCTTTAGTGAGGGGAGAACTCCTAGACCCCACCAAACCCTTCTTTTTACTGAAGGGGAAACTGAGTTGCCAGGGAGGGAGGCCACATGACAGCTGAGTGGAGACGAGAGGAGATGGAAGTGTGGTTACAAAGTTTTATGTGATCTGGGCCCCTCTGGAGGCGCCAGCGTCCACACTCAGTACAGGGGCATGAGAGACTGGCTCAGGGGGGCGGCATGGCCCAAGAGGAGGAAGATTGTCCCCTGGGGAAAGGAGACATTCCTAATGCATTGCACAGGCTTGAGGGGGCACACCCCCACATGAAGGGAGGAGGAAGCAGAGGTGGCTAAGAAGGGGAAGGTCACACAGAAGAATATAAGGCTAGAACCTTGGAATCGTACCTTGGAATTCTATGCCTGTAGACCTGTAGAATCTTACAACATTTGAATCTTAGAACTACGGTGTCTAGAATCTTAAGATTTAGAACTGTGGATCTTAGACCCATAACTAAAATCCTAGAAAGGCAGAATGCAGCATAGAACCTAAAGGTGTCCAGCATTAGAAATGATAAGAGGGCTGGCCCCGTGGCTTAGCGGTTAAGTGCGCGCGCTCCGCTACTGGCGGCCCGGGTTTGGATTCCGGGCATGCACAGACGCACTGCTTCTCCGGCCATGCTGAGGCCACGTCCCACACACAGCAACTAGAAGGATGTGCAACTATGATATACAACTACCTACTGGGGCTTTGGGGAGAAAAAAGGAGGAGGATTGGCAATAGATGTTAGCTCAGAGCTGGTCTTCCTCAGCAAAAAGGAGGATTAGCATGGATGTTAGCTCAGGGCTGATCTTCCTCAAAAAAAGAAAGAAAGAAAGAAAGAAATGGTAAGAACTTTGGTATCTAGTTAGTCACAATTAACTGTAGAGACTTATACCTCAGATGCTGAAGATCCAGAATCTTGGACCAATAGAGTCTAGAGTGTCTTGGAACATAGAACAGACCAACATCAGAATCTTAGAGTTTAATAATCTAGAATCTTGAAGCATATGATCTAGAATCTCAGACACAGAGAATCTAGGTTCTTAGGCTAAGTCTTAGAACATCACATCTTAGAACATGAGACCTTAGAAACTCCATCTTTAGACTCTTAGAACTTTTGAATTGCAGATTCTAGAATCTTAGACCTTTAGGATCCAGAATCTCCTAACAAGAGTTTCAAGAATCATAATGCCTTAGACCTATAGTTGGCCATCATTAGAATCTTAGAACTTGAGAAGATAAAATCTTGAAGGCTTATGATCTAGTCTTACAGCCAGAAGATTTACACTCTAAGAGGCTTAGAACATCAAATTTTAGAACATTAGGCCTTAGAACCTCCATGTCTAGAATTGTAGAATTTTTAGAATTGTAGAATCTAGAATCTTACACCCTAAGGATTCAGAACCCTAGAAAAATAAAATCTAGAATCATAGAGTCTTAGATCCTAGAATTAGAATCTTAGAGCTTTAGAACCTAAAATCTTGTGGGCTTTATCAAGAATCTTTGAACCAGAAAAATCTAGAGCCATAGAGTCTCAGAGCCTTAGAATATAGGCCTTAGGACTTCTATGTCTAGAACCTTAGCACTTTAGAATTAGAGACTTTGGAATTTCAGGTCCTTAGAACCAAAGACTTATAGCATCTTTGAAACCTAGAACCTTTGAGTCTAGACTCTTTAAACCTTAGAATCTAGAATCTTGGAATGTTAGACCTAGGAGGACCCTTAGGGATTGCAGTCCAACCCCTTCCTTTTACACATGGGGACACAAAGGCATGGAAAAGGGAGAGGATCTGTCTGGGATGGAAGTGGAATAGGAAGGAAGAGAGAGCTGCAGTTGAGGGTAAGGCCTGGAGCGGGAAAGTGGAGGGGGGTCCCCCAGTGGCAGTGCCTAGCTTGGGTCCTGAGAGGGAGTCCCAGGTAGAGGGTTGTCTCAGGCTCCATCCTCCTGCCCCGGGGATGCTGGGGAGCCCCTATCAGTAGGCAGGGTGGGGCCAGAGGCTGTAGAAGGGCAGAGGACATAGCGTCCAGCAGGATGGACCTCAGCTGCAGTGAGGCAGCTGCAGGAATCCTTAGGGTCAGGCTGGGTTGGGGGGTCAGCTCCTCCAGCTGCTCCAAGTGGTTCAGGATGACCCACACCCTCATCCATGTTGACATAGAGGATTTCTTCCGGCTCCTGGGCAGGGGGCAGGGCCTTCAGCGTGTTCTCCAGCTCTTCCCGCAGCTCTGCAAAACTCGGCCGGTCCCGGGGGTTTAGCTCCCAGCACCGGGACATCAGGACATACCTAGGGCAGCAAAGTCAGGGGTGGGAGACTGAGCAGGGGCTCAGAAGGGGAACATTCTGAGAGTCTGGGGGCATTTCATGGGACTGGAGGGAACCATAGCAGTTTGGGGGCATCTATGGGGATTTGGGAATTCTCAAGAGTTTCTGAGGGGGGATCCTGGGAGACTCAGGAGCTGGAAAGAGTCTTGGGAAACCTCTCTGGGTATGGGGTGGTGTTCTAGTGAGGGTTTGCTAGAGCAGAGCTTCCCAATGTGTCTCTGGCATCAAAGGCTTGCAAGCTGTGCAATTTAAAATATGTGCTTGGGGCCAGCCCCATGGCAGAGTGGTTGAGTTTGCACACTCCGCTCTGGCAGCCCAGGGTTTGTGGGCTTGGATCCCGGGCGTGGACCTACACCACCCCTCAAGCCATGCTGTGGCGGCATCCCACATACAAAATAGAGGAAGATGGGCACAGATGTTAGCTCAGGGACAATCTTCCTCACACAAAAAAAATTAAAATAAAATACAAAATAAAATAATAAAATAAAATAAAATAGTGCTCAAATTCTTTGACATCCCTCTCTTGAAAAGATGGAGCCTAATTTCCCTCCCCGTGAGTGTGAGCTGCACTTAGTGACTCAATTCTGACTCGGCAGCAGTGACGGTGTGTGTGACTTCTGAGACTAGGTTGTAAAAGGCATTATGGCTTCCTCCTTGCTCTTTCTCTTGCAATGCTCATCTGGGGGAGGCCAGCCGCCACGTCCTGAGGCAGCTCAAGCAGCACTATGGAGGGGTCTGCATGGTGAAGAACTGAGGAGTGAGCCACCACGAAAGCAACCTTCCACTCTCAACCTGACATCTTGACTGTAACCTCATTAGAAATCCTGATCCAGAATCACTTTGCTAAGCTGTTCCCAGACTCCTGAACTTCAGAAACTACGTGAGGTAATAAATGCTTGTTTTCTTTTTTTGCTACTGGATTTTGGGGTATAGATAACTAATACATCAGCTGTGCAGCCTTTGCCAAGTGATTCCCCCTTTCTGTGGGCCTCAGTTTCCTCATCTCCAAATGGGAATAGTAATGGTACCTATCTACCTTACATGGCTGTGTAAGGACCAAATGGATTAATTCATGCAAAACACCAAAAACAGTGCCTTCTAGTAAGTTCTGTAGAAATGTTAGCTATTATTCTCACTTCCCTAAGCTCATGGAGCACCCAAGGAGGATCTGGGGAGTCTGAAGCCTCAGGCTGTCCCCTCCTGATCTAAGCAACATCTTCTCTTTACCCCCAAAGTGCTGGATAAATATTCTGCTCTTCTCTGTGTGCCGTGAGAAGGCAAAGTTTGACAAGTACTGTTCTAGAGGATCCTGAGAACATCTCAGAGGAGACCTGAGAGTTTGGAGAAGCTCAATATAACAAACTGGAGGGTTTTGCAGAGGGTCTTGGGCGTTGAAGACCATCTAGGGGAAGCATGGGTGCTCAGGAGACTGGAATGAATTAGAATTTTGGGGGAGGGGGGCCTCAGAGGAAGGTCCCCCAGGTAAGGTTGTGCAGGTTATTCATTGCCCATGGACACCTGCCGAGGGGGCTGATCCAGTCTGCATTCCATGCACAAGGCAAAGGAGGAAAGGGCACCTTTTGCTAATTTGCACCCTGTTGGCTAGCAGTGGTCCTGCAGAGCACTGGTGAGGGGTGGGTGGATTCCTCCTGCCCCCTAAGGGATTCTGTGGGATCTGAGGGATTCTGTGCAGGTTTTAGGAGGTCCTGGATATGTCGGGGCCACGTGGGGTGCTCAGGGTTTTGGAATGAAATCTGGGATTGGGTGTGGGGGGGGGTCCTAATGGTCCTCACAGTCCATCCAGACAGTCCACAGGCTGCTTCAGGCGGTTTCCCTGGCGCAGGTAGTCATAAATCTCGCTGTTCTCCACTCCTGGATATGGGGTTTGTCCCCGTGTGGCAATCTCCCACATTGTCACCCCAAAGGACCACTGTGGGGGGGAAGGGAGAGGGAGTTAGAGGGTCTCTCCTGTACAAAGACAACCCCCAAAACACAGGTTCATGGGTACACCCACACTTATATGCACATGTGTGCAGAGCTATCTTTGTGGGTGCATCACAGTTATTCACAGAAACCCTCTAGCACAGGTATACATTCATAGAGTTAACTTTCGTGCATGCATAGACATGCTCACCCATGCACACATTTACACACATCAGGGACACATGATCTCATGTTTCATCCTCCACGCCCTGGCTATACACATGTATACATATTTACCACTGCCTCTCCTAACCCAAACTGTCCACAGGTCCCATGTATGAACCTGCCACCATGCACACATGGGCCTGTGCATATCCCCAGCATGTCCACACCACTGTTCACAGATGCCCACCACACCCCCAGACATGCCTAGCCCACGTGGACAGGCCGCTGTGCGGGGAAGCCCCTCCATCCCTGTGAGCCCAGTGCCGTGTGAGATGAACAGGCCACACCCACCCCCTGTTCCCCACTCCAGTAGGGGGCGCACATACCACATCACTCTTGCTGGTGTAGACGCGGTCAGCCAAACTCTCAATGGCGATCCACTTGACTGGCATCTTGGCAATGCGTCCCTGGCGGTAGTAGTCCCCGTTGTAAATCTTCTTGGAGAGCCCAAAGTCCGCCACACAAACGGACATGTTCTCGTTCAGCCTACCCAGATTGGGGAGAGGGACAGGGTCACGGCATCGGCCCCCTCCACCAGGAAGCCTGCCCTCGCTGTCAGACACTTCTCCATCTCCTACCCTGGCAGTCCTGCTTGGGGGTGGGGCTCTATCTCCCCAGCTCGCCCCAGACCAGGAGGGAACTGCGTTACTTCTTGTTCCCTCTGTAAAATGAGGGCGGGACAAAGGGCTGCTGAGGGCCTTCCCAGCTCTGGCTTTTTGCCAGACTCTAAAGGCCTTTCTAGGTTCTTTGGGTTTGATTCTCTGATTTAAAAAAACGAAACTGTTTTCTTGAAGTATACTATATATATAGAAACACGCACAAATCTTAAGTGAACAGCTCTCATGGAATTTTCACAGACACACCCATGTAACCAGCACCCAGATTAAGAAACAGAACGTCATGGGACATCTGTACAACGGAATCCCACACAGCAAAGAAAAAGAACTACTGATACGCACAACCACATGGATTGATCTCAAAAACAGCATGCTGAGTGAAAGAAGCAGGACACAAAGGAGTAAAATTGCATGATTCCATTTATATGATGTTTAAGAACAGGTGACAGAAGTTGATGGTGACAGACGTCCATCCAGAACAGTGATTAACCCTTGGGGGCAGTGACTGGGAAGGGCACGAGGGAGCCTGCCGGGGCCTAAAAGTGTTCTTTATCTGTTGTTTATCTTTGTTATCTTTATCTGGTTGTTTATGTGGGTCTATAGACAAAGTAAACATCCATCGAGCTGCACATATAAGATGTGCATATTTTAGTGTACATAAAATACACACGGATTTTTTTTTAATGTGAAAAAGAAAGAAACACATTGCCAAACCTCTCTTCCTGTAATTACCCCTCCAAGGGTAACCACAATCTTCACTTCTACCAGCATGAATTACTTTTGCTTGTTTTTGTGCTTTACATAAATAGAAGATTCTCGGATTCTTGCATCTGAGTTTCTGGGATTCTATTTTTTTAAGAATTGATCATTTCTAGCCAGGGGGTTGGGCTTGAGCAATGACCAATCAAAACAGACCCTGGAGGCCCCTGATATGCCAGGAGTTAACCTTTAACTGCTGGGTCCAGGGGAGGTCCAGAGGATCACGGTGGGGGACAGAGATGGGTAATGCTCAGGCATCTAAGCTGGTGGCTTTGGAGCACGTGAGGCTTGGAGCTGTGGCCAGTTGCCAACTGGTGAGAAAGTATTTCAGTATTTTAACAACTTAAAAGAAAGCATGATAGGTGTGTAACAGTTGATAGTCCACTCTTATTCTCAGTGTCATTATTACACTGGGGGCTTGACTAGGATCAGCCCAAGTTACAGAAATAAAGGAATTCCATTTTGACTGAGTCTATTCAAGCCTTTAGATCTACTTTCCAATTAACCAGAAATACAGGGAACAGAGGAACAAGGCGAATGCCACCACAAAGAAACAGACACATCTTTTTATTTTCTTTTTTTTTTTTTTTTGGTGAGGAAGATTGGCCCTGAGCTAACATCTGTTGCCAATCTTCCTCTTTTTGCTGAGGACGATTGGCCCTGTGCTAACATCCGTGCCCATCTTCCTCTATTTTGTATGTGGGACACCACCACAGCACGGCTTGATGAGTGGTATGAAGGTCCGCACCGGGATCCGAACCTGCGAACCCCGGGCCGCTGAAGTGGAGCATGCGAACTTAACCACTATGCCAGCAGTCCGGCCCCTAGACACATCTTATATATGGGACATTCTACAAGACAGCTGGCCTGATCTTTTCCAAAAGAATATGCCATAAAAATATACAAAGATGGAGTGGGGGAGGCTATTCTAGATTAAAAGAGAGCAAAGGGGCCTAACAACCAAATGTAATGCGGGAACCTTGCATAGATCCTGGTTCGGGGAAAAAAACAGCCCTAATGTACATTTCATAGGACAACTGGAAAGATTTGAATATGGATTGGGTATTAGGTAATGTAATGGAATTATTGTTTATCTAATTAGGTGTGATAACAGAATTGTGATTGTTTAGGACTAAGTCCTTATTTTAGGAGATACCTACTGCAGATTTAGGGGTAAAGTGTCACCATCTCAGCAACTTACTTTCAAATAGTTGAGAAGAGAGAGAGAAAGAGAAGAGAGGAGAAATGTGACAAAACCCCAACAAGGAGGCTATACGGATGTTCACTGTATAATTCTTTCAACTTTTCTGTAGGATTGGGTTTTTCAAAATAAAAGTTGAGGGGAATAAAGAAATTTCCATATTCCCGAGAGTTGTGAACATTTACATGTTTTAGAGAAGATTCTCTGATTCTCCAGCTCCAATTTCTATGAGCCCAACATTGTAACGAGGCTGATATTCTAAGCCTGTGTTTACACACACACACACACACACACACACACACACACACACACACACACCACCCTCACCTTAGCCCTAGTTCTGGCCCATTTTTCTGCTTTTCCATTGCATTGGCAGGGGGTGTGGTCTCCTTATCCAATGTGGCCCCTTCCCAAGGGCAGCCCTAGGCAAGACACTCAGCGTAGAGGTGGACAGAGATGAGGCTTAAATGTTACCACTCGCATCAGTCATCTCCATCCCTTTGCTCACCTCACGCTGCCCACTGAGCCTACCCTCTTGCCTCCTCTCTCTCCACATCCAAATACTCTAGGATCTCAGCTCAGCGCCCACGTCCTCCAGGAAGCCTTCCCCAACCCCGTTGCTGACTTCTCTATCCCTGTCCTGAGTTCTGACCTGCCCCCTCTTGCATCTTGGGAAGGAGGGAAGGAACTCTCTGAAGGAGGCAGGGAGGGTCCATGGAATGCCTGATACTCACATGCAGTTCCTGGCAGCCAGGTCCCGATGTATGAATCTCTTGGTACTCAGATACTCCATGCCACTGGCAATGTCTGCCATGAACTTCACCAGCATCTGAGTGGGCAGGAACTAGGGTGCCAGGGCAGGAGGGAAGAGAAGTCAGCACAGTCCCCGAGATCCATCCCTCCTCCCTTCCTCTGTGTGCCTGGCTCTGCTCTGCAATGGTTTCCCAAGGCTCCAAGAATTAAATCCAACCCCTTTCCAACAAGGCCCTGTATAACCCCCTATATAACCCCCTCCTGCGTTCCTCTCCAACTTGATGTCCTACTGTTCTTGGCCTTGACATAGGCTCCAGCCAGGGGCCTCCTTGCTGCTCTTCAGACAAGCCATGCTTGTTCCCACCTCTGAGCCTTTGCCAACGCTGTGCCCTCTGCTGGGACTGCTTCCTCCCAGATCTCCTCATCTCCTGCCAGCTGGCTCCTCCTTCAAGGTCACCTCCTCAGTGAGACCTTTCCTGTCCACCCAAACAAACTGCCTAGCCTCCCTATCATTCGTCCTACTCTATTTCCTTCCTAGCACTTAAATTATCTTGCTTATTTATTTGTTAACTTGTTTATTGCCTGGTCCCCCCAGTGGCAGACAGTTCGATGAGAGCAAGCTCTTGGTCACCATGGTCCTCCCAGTGTCTGAGCAGCACTGGGTCCCTTGTAGGCGTTCAATGAATACTTGTGGACCAGAAGATTAAATGCCCCTCACCACTGGCTGGTCCCCGAGCCGGGAATAGAGAAGGAAACTGTGTAGGTCTCCATGTTTCATGAAGGGTAAGATGACCACAGGTGCCGGGAAGCCCTCTCGTTCGGAACCCTGGAAACAGACGCCTGAGCCCGGCCAGGCAGCCCTGTCACTCCAGTTGGGCAGAAGGGGAAGCCATCCCCTCTTCCAGCTCTGTGTCTCCCCCTCAAATCTGGCCTCCACATTGTTGCCAGGGTGGGGTGGGGTGGGGTGGGGTGGGGGGGTGGCAGGGACCAAGCTTCAGAGGAGCCGTTTCCAGCACAGTTCCCAGGGATGTTTCCCCAAGCCCTCCTGGGGACCTCAGCTATTTCTGGGAAAGGTCAGAGGTCACATTCCAAGCTGAGAAAGAGTAGAAGGAGGGGGGGGCTTGCTGACTCTGAGGGAGGGGGGAGCAGGGAGCCTGGAAGTTTAGTTTTCCCAGTGCCTGAGGGAGGGGTCATCCCTCTGGTGTGGCTTCCATGGGACCTGGACCTTCTAAAGGCGCCTCCCTCACCGATGAGCCTCATGACGTTGGGGTGGTCGAATTCCTTCATGCAGACGGCTTCACTCAGGAAATCCTCCAACTCCGACCTCGTGCAGATGGCAACTTGAGAGAGAGAAGAAGGTGAATTGGGGGGCAGGGGAGAGGACTCTTTCCCTCCTCCTCCTCCTCCTCTCCTTCATCATCATCATCATCATCTTCATCAAACATGATTAGTAATTCCCAGGTGCTATACTCAGCACTTTACATATATTAACTCATTTAATCCCCTGAGGTGCTACTATTATTATCCCTATTTAAAGAAGGGAAGGCCAAGACATAGAATGGTTAAGGAACCTACATAGGCACACACAGCTTGCAAGTGGAATACACAGAATTCAAACCCAAGCAGAATGGCTCTGGGGTCCATGTGCTCACACCATGCTAGGCTGCTCCCAGCACATTTCCCACAGCCCTGGGGATCCATATGAGCCCTGGATTGTCCCTGTTTTACACAGGACACTGGCTCATAGAGGCAAAGTGGCTTGCCCAAGGTCACACAGCTGGGATTCAAACCCAGGTCGAGAACACAACCTGGTACATAGGAGGTGCTCCATAATGAATGAATGAGTGAGAGAGCGATGACTCCATAGCCCACGCTTTTAGCCCCCGTGATTCAGAACGGATCAATCCTCCCTCACTTCCACCCCCAGCCTGACCCTCTATACTTCCCTGTGTGGAAAGGACTTGGCCCTGGACTTCCAGTGCTATGTGACCCTGGACTGGCTCCTGCCGTCTCTGATGATGTAAGTAATATAGTTGCAGTCCACGTTTATTACACATACTGTTGCCACCCCCAGCATTAAGTGCTTTGCCTGACAACACCCTAGAAAGTAGGGACATTATGATCCTATTTTCCAGATGAGGAAAGGGAGGCTCAGAGAGGGAAAGTCACTTGCATGTGATCACACAGCTGATAAATGATGAAGCCAGGTGTGCCTCATTCTGGAGTTTCCCCTGCCCTGCTATGTATCACAGGGGGCTGGCCCCTGAAAACTACATTTCCCAGGCTCCCTTTCCTGATGATTTCCTGTCGGAGTTTGCCAATAGGAAGAACCGATGGGAGATTGGCAGGTGCATGGGAGGCGGGGAAAAGCCAGGGTATTCCACTCTCTCTCTTTCCAGTATTGCCTTGGTGGTGGCTGTGTCTCCTTTGTGTTTCAAGCTTTCACAACGTAGCTCTTAACTCTGTGATTCCCCAATCCCACCAGGTATCCCTGGCCATGGGCTCTGGTAACACCACTTCCTCCCTCTGCCCTTCAGGCCCAGGGGTGGAAGTGATAGTACTGCTGCTGCTAATGTCTAGGTTGCCTCACTGCCCCCCATTGTTCCTTCAGTGCTTCCTACACGTTTGCAGTAGTCTCCTTATATTAAATTTCTTCTATTGAAGTACCTGGCAAGGACAATATTTCCTGTCTGGAAACACTGAGGTTCTATGCTAGGGCTAATTTGCTATTAACTTTTCTGCTTTTCTCCCTCCTTAGAGGCATAGGGAAGGCGTCTGAGGTTAGGGGATGGGGGTCCCACATGTGTGCACACGCATGCACAGACTCACTCTTCATTGTCTTCACAGCCACCTTGAGGACGGAGTCGTCTTGGTTGAGCTGGCCCTCCATCACAGCTCCAAACTCTCCTGTAGGGGACCAAAGGGAGACACTGACCTCGGGTGGGCCTGTGGGGACTGCATTTCCTGTGGTTGGGTGGGGGTGAGGAAGTGAAGGACTTCAGGGCTCATGTGTGTGTGTGTGTGTGCTGGGGGGACTCACCTTCTCCCAGGGTCTTCCCCAGGGCCACCTTATGCCGGTCCACCATCACATCCCTCAGCTTCTCTTTCAGCTCTTCGCTGATGCCCAGGCTGTTCACTGCATTGAGGGAGGTGGGGTGGACAGAGACATGGAGCAGGGCTGACATTCAGGTGACACTCACCGATAGGAATATACTTGTTAAAATACCAAAATACTTCTGCATTCGTTCAAAAATAGCTACTGCCCTAAGCACCCCACCACCCCCACCCTAGCTCCTCTTCTAGACCCCCTGAATCTTCCCCAGAGTAGCAACTAAGAGGTTAAAGCTTGCCACATAATCTTGCTCCAGTAGGCACCCTGATTGGTCAGCATCCTGCCTTACCAGTTGTTAAAAATATTTCTTAACTTCTTATTAAAGTATAACCTGCACAAGTCATAGTGAGCAGCTCAGTGGATTTTCACAAACCAAACACAACTGTATAACCAGCACCCAGGTCAAGAACAGACCATGGCCTGCCCTCTCAGGGTAGCCACTTTGCTGACTTCTCTGACCACAGACGAGTCCTCTCTATTTTGGGATGTCATAAACGTGGAATCACTTACTGTGTTCTCTTTTGTGTCTGGCTTCTTTCACTCAATATGATGTCTATGAGATAGTTGTAATGTAGTTGTTGTGTGTAGCTGTAATTTATTCATTTTCATTGCTGTATAGCAGCAGTTCTCAAGCTTATTGGCCTCAGGATCTCTTTACATTCTTGAAATTATTGAGGACTGCTGAGAGCCTTTGTTTATGTACAATATTTATTGTATTCAGAATTAAAATGGATAGATTTTTAAAACACAAGAATACACGAGCACACGTTCCATCAACCGTCAGAGTGATGACATCATCACACATTACGAAGCCTCTGGAAAACTCCATTGAACACTCGTGAGAGAAGGAGAGTGCAAAAGGGCAAATAATGTCTTGGTGTTATTATGAAAATAGTTTGACCTCATGGACCCCCTGCAAAGGTCTCGGGGACCCCCGGGGACTCGAATCACACTTTGAGAACTGCTGCGGCATATTATCCCATTAGATCACTGTGACCCCCTTGCTTCCTCTTCCTTCTCCTCTTAAATAAATGTCTTTCCCAGACCCTTGGACATCTCCCTGGGGCCCTGGCAGCCTTCTCAGTGTGTTCTAGGAAGAGACCTAAATTTGCCCCTTTTCTTTCTGGATTTAAGTTTCCCCAGTTGGAAAGATGGGACCCTCGATAACTCCACAGTCCTCTAACAGAAAGTCGATAGTTTTAAGATTCTATGATTTTCAAGATTCTAAGGGTCTATACTACTGAGCCTATAATTTTTCAAGCCGAGATCGATTCTACCTCTCCAACATTCTATAATTACAAGAGGCAGTTAAGAGGATGGGCTTCAGAGTGAAACTGCTGGTGTTCGAATCCCAGCTCTCCAACTTACAAGCTGTGTGGCCTTGAGGAAGTTATTGAACCACTTTATGCCACAGCTTCCTCATCTGTGAAGTGGGGGGGATAATGTACCTACCTCACTGGGTTGTTGTGAGGATTAGATTAAGTGATAGGTATAGAGTGCTTAGACCTGGGCCTGTCACATAGGAAGTGCTAGGGTTGGCTGTTATCATCATCGCCATCATCACTTCTCAACATTATTTCATCAGCAGCATCTTCTTCTTCATCATCATCTTTATCATAATCATCATCATGATTACATTGTTTTAAGATCCTATGACTCTGAGGTTTGGTGTTTCTAAGATATATTTTGTCTAAGATTTTATTATTCTAAGGTTCTGTGTGGTTCCACAATTCCGTTGTTCTTAGAGTCTGTGGTTCTCACATCCTATTATTCCAGGGCCTTCGAAAATTTTGACTCATGCATCTACAGAAGCCCAGCAGGCCTAAATCTCTACACTCATTACCCCAAACCAGGGCAGGGAGGCATGGGGTTCACTTACAGGTGGCTTCAGTGGTCCGGCGACTGTAGGACTTGCGAACGCGGTACCTGACCACCAGCTCACCCCTCTCTACTGTTGGTTCAAACACCTCTCTGGGGGGAACGAGGAGGAGGTGAGGACAGAGCAGAACTATGTGGAACCCCCACCTTCCACCAGCAGTGAGAGCAAGAACCATCCCAACCCCAGGCCCTGCCTGCCCTCTCCTCCAGCATTTGCTGAGCACGCCTTGAACTGCTACCTTCTGCTTTCCATTCATTCTCCAGACCCTTGACCATTCCAATTCCTGGTAATCTCTCCTCCTGCACCAGCCTCCTCATGGTTCCCCCGCCTCCAACCTCTTCATCCCAGTCCACCTTAGCCTCCCTACCCACGTAGTTACAACTCACCCATAGCGGGTCTCCTTCTTCCGCCGGTGGACGAGGAACAGGGCCAAGATGAGGACACAGGCAGCGGCCACAACTGCTCCCAGCAGCACATACCACCAGGGCCACGAGAAGGCAGGGGCTGGGGGTTCACTCACTGTCAGGGGGGTATGGGGGACAAGTCATGGCTGAGGCCCTGGATCCAGCCCCCTGGGACCCAAGGGAGTGATGCTGGAGGGAGGCAGACATGGACATATTGGATGAGCATGTGATAGATGCATTCACATAACCAAGGAGACTGGGCTGGGCAAGGCATGCAATGGATATGATATAAGTGTGCATTAAAGTAGGAGCATGAAACTCGTGGGAGGGGTGAAGTGAGTTAAGAGTGGGATGGATGGGTGAGGTGAGTCAAGAGTGGGATGGATGGGTGAGGTGAGTTAAGAGTGGGATCGACACTTGAGGAGTGTACAATGAGTGTGGAAGGAGTGTGGGATGGGAGTGAGAGACTTGTGTGGAATGATTTATGAGTATGCAAGGAGGGCTGGATGAGCATGGGATGGGTGTGAGGAAATCTCAAGCGGTATAGGTGTGTGTGATATGTATGAGGATTGTGCAAGGAGGGCAGACTTGGGTGTGGAAAAACAGGTGAGTAGGGGAGAGAGTGCATGCAGTGTAGGACAAGTGTTTGAGGCGTGTGCAATGAATATGCAAGGAGAGTGAGGCTTGTGGGACAAATGGCCACGGAATATTTTTGAGGAGTGTGTGATGACTAGAAAGGAGTTTTCATAAAGCAAGGAATGAGATGAAATAAATGTGCAAAGGGGCTTGGTGTGCAGAGGAGTGTGTACAGAGTGTTGGATGGGTGTTGGAGGAGTTTGGGGTATGTGAGTGAGGAGTATTCAAGGACTTTTAGATACAAGGAGGGAGCAGTGATTTGTAAGGATGTAACTTCAGTGTGAGAGGAGTGTGCAGTGAGCATGTAAAAGATGTGGGAAGGGCAGATGAGGAGCATGGGATGAATGGAAAGGGTGTGCAAAAAGGGTGGGAATGAATTAGAAAAAAGAAGGATTATAATGGGATGAACGTGAAAGGAGGGTGGGATTAGTGTGGAAAGGGTATGCAAAGAAATGTAGGAAGGCATGTGAGGAATATTTAAGGATAATGGGTTGAGTTACAAGAGGTGGGCTGTAATAGTGCTAGGAGGATACAATGTGTGTTGGAGAAATATTGAAGAGGGATGGATGTGAGGCAGATAACTCATCTGTACGTCCGTCCATCCGTCCATCCATCCATCCATCCTTCCATCCATCCATCCATCCATCCATCTACCCACCCAGTCATTCATTCATCCACCCATCTACCCATCCATCCATCCATCCGTCCATCTATCCATCCATCCAATCATCCATCCATCCGTCCATCCGTCCATCTATCCATCCATCTACCATTCACTGAGTACCTACAATGCCATTCCAGACACCTCCATCAAGGACCACACAATCCCAAGAAGTAGAGGATTAGAGTGATGACTTTGAGAAACACAAAAGGGATGTACAAAGAGTATGTGTGTGGTGATGGGGTCTCCACTGGGCACTGAGGAAAGGGAGGGAGTGGAGGGGGTGTGAAAGCCCTTACCCAGCTGGTGGATTGGCTGTCCTTGCCCTGTGAGGAGAAAGGACAGAGGGAGGACACGCTCAGAGAGGACAAGACTGGTGTGACACGGGGGAGGGAGTGAGGCTCTCCGTAAGGTTCCGGGTAGAAACAGAGCCTAAATTGGGGTAACACTGAAAGGTACACGGAGCAAGTCAGGGCATCTGGACAGACAAGGTCCTTGTGGATAGGCTGAAGGGGGCTGAGCACGGCTTTGGAGTTACCTGGGCGCCAGGGCTCCAGGAGCACAGGGAGGCTCCAGGGTCCATCCCCAGCGGCGGTGTAGGCTGCCACACACACCGTCAGGTTGGGCACAGTCCCATCCCCCCGCAGCTCCAGGGTCACCTCTCGCTTTAGCCCTACGTCCATTAGCACCTAGGATGTCCAGACGTGAGATGAGGGTAGAGCCCCAGTCCCCTAACTCTTAAGCTTTCAGTCTCGGCCTCAACTCCCCATCTTTCTCAGAGCCCTCTCCTCACCTCCAGCCCCTCATCCTCTACCTCCTCCTACCCTTCATCTCCGATCCCCCAGCCTTCCCTCTCCATTCTCCATTCCCGTGCCCACTGAAGTGTCAGCTCCAGCAGGACTGGGACTTTGTCTCACTCACTGCCGTGTCCTCAAGTCCCAGCACAGCGCATGGCACATGGTACTTTTGCTGAAGAGCTGAATTCTCATCTTTTCACCCTCATCTCTCCATCCCCTTAGAACTCCCCATCCTCTCTCCCTCCGCATCTCTCCACCACAGGGGTGCTGCTTGCTCAGAGAGTACCATTGTGCAGATTAGGAAAAGGCACCCCTTCCTCGAGATGCTGTACAACTATCTGCTGTAAAACCGTCATAGTCAATATGTAAGTCTACTGAAACGCCTTTTACAATGATTCATAAATAGCCTCCCCTGGACCTCTTTAACCTCCCCAGAATGTGCTCTCCTAGGCATAGTATGATTGCATACTACCCAACCTGCACAACTGTCCACATCTGCCCTGTCATCTCCTCCTCCCCATCTCCCTCCTCCCCAGCCACTCCATCCCAACCTGGCCAGCAGCACCCACCTCGGGGGTGTCCTGGCCTCGGTAGGCCAGCCGGTACCCTAACAAGGTGCCCTGCAGGGGCGCCCTCGGCTCCTGCCAACGCACGAGGGCTTGGCTCCCATTCCGCATGGCGCTAACGTTCTCGGGGGGGCCCAGGGGCACTGGAGGACAGGGAAGAGGAGGAGCTGGCACCCCCACCACTTCCTGACCCCCTCCCCTGTTCCCAGGAAGTGGCGGCAGGGTGCAAATGGCATGCGCGTGGGCAACTCGTGCAGGCCTCCCGTGAGCGGAAGCACAGGGAGAGATGCCAGTGGGCTGTGTTGAGGAGTTGGGGACTGGACGGGAAGGAGATTGAGGCCACAAGGGTAAATGGGTGAGAGGAGATCCTGGGGGTGGTACTGATGTGAGCAAGGTCCAGTGGGGCAGCACGTGACATCTCCCCTCAAACCCCGCCACCAGCCCCTTCTTACCTCCCTCTGACGTCTCCACGGGAAGCCAGTGGGTCCAAGGTGAGGGGCCCTGGCTACTGGCACACGCCACCCGGATGTGATAAGGGGTGTGAGGATGGAGGCTGCCCAGCCGAAGTCGGTGAGGGGGAACAGATGCTTGCAAGGTGAGGGGCTCCTCTGGGGGGTCTGGCTGTCCCAGCCAGATGCTCACCCCATCGTCTGACAGCACAGCCTGAGAAGAGGGAAGGAGGCGTCAGGACAGGATGGCCACATAATCACACACGGTCACACAACTCTCGATGGCGGTGATCCTAGTGTGACTACGCAATTTTGCAAGGAGGGGTCTGTGTATGTATGTATGTCGCAGCTCCATGCCAGTACAACATAGGCACCTGCATTTGCAAAACGAGGAGACCACCCAGCTGCACGATGTGGCTCTGTCGTCACTGGCAAAAACCACCTCTTGCAAGACTTTCCCTCCCTGAGCCTCAGTTTCCTCATCTGGAAAATGGGGCGGCTGCACAGTGCATGGCAGGTAGTCAGCATCAACAACAATGATAACAATGCTGTTCAACCACAGACAAAAACAATGTCCTACAGGAGAAGTCAGAAGAGTGGGCATCTCTGGGGGCTGGGAAGGGTCTGCATCTTGATTTGGAGAGTGGTTACATGGATGAATCCGCATGTTAAACAATCCAGGTGTACACCAAAGATGATGCACATTATGTATATCTTTTTTTTTTTTTTTTTTGGTGAGGAGGATTCACCCTGAGCTAACATCCATTGCCAATCTTCCTCTTTTTGCTTGAGGAAGATGCGCCCTGAGCTAACATCTGTGCCAGTCTTCCTCTACTTTGTATGTGGGTCGCTGCCACAGCATGGCTGATGAGTGGTGTAGGTCCGTGCCCAGGATCCAAACCCGTGAACCTGGGCCGCTGAAGCAGAGCGCACCAAACTTAACCACTATGCCACGGGGCTGGCCCCCCACATTATGTATATCTTAATAAAAAGAGAAAAACCCTTTGCAAATCTGAACTCATCTGACCCTCACCTCAGCCCTGCATTGTGGGTACTGTGTTTATCCCTATTATCCAGATGAAGACACCGAGGCTCTGAGAGATGGAATCTCTCGCCCAAGGTCACCAGCTTGTCACTCAACCTGAACCCCATCCTGTCTTCAAACCTTTAACCTACTTACAGCAAGAATATCCATTTAAGAGCATCAGTAATAGTAACAATACTTCTCTTCCGTCCAGAGAGGCAGTGCAGCTTAGTGCTGAAGAGCATGGATGCTGGATCTGGGGTTCAAATCCAGCCTCTACCATTCCCTAGCTCTGTGCCTCAGTTTCCTCCTCTGTAAAATGGGATATCAACAATGGCTCCTACTTCACAGGGTTGACTGAATTGATGCCTGTAAGTGTTCAGAAGAATGCCAGTGCATATTGAGTGTCTGTCATTATTATTTTGTGTGTGTCTGAGGTTGCCTGGCCACAAGTGCCAAACTCTGTACACCCTGCACTGTGGCACAGACTGGCACACCCACCTGATCCCTGGGAAAGGCATGATCACGATGGCAAGGCCACAGCTGGGAAATACATCTGTACAGTCATGCCGTCCAGAACCACAAACCCACCACAGCCACACAGCTCACAGCCATACACTCAGGAGTCCTGCCTTCACCCTAGGGAGCAACCAGGAGACCCAACCACACTGCCACACAACGTGTTGGGAAGTTTATTGCTTAAATGTGTGGGCTCTGAAGCCAGATTTCTTGGGTCCAAGTCCTGGCTTGGATATTATTTGCTGTGTGACCTAGAGTGAGTGTCTTAACTTCTCTGCGTCTCAGTTGCTGTCTCTGGAAAATGGGCATGCAAGAGGCCCTACTTGGCAGGGTGCGAGGTTTAATGACACAGTGCATTTAAACTGGTTTGCACATCATATCAACAGCTAACATTTCTTGAGTGCCAACTATGTACCAAGCTTGCCCAAAGTCACACAGGCCCCATGAGGGGAGATGCTACACCACGAGGCCTGGGGAGCAGGTTGGCAGATGGTAGGTAGCACGATGGGGGGAGGCTATCCCCATGCCTGCTCTCTGACCCACAGTGACAGACGGGAAGGGGAACCTCTGTTGGGACAAAGGGGACGTGGGTGCAGACAGTCAGCCTCCTTGTGCCCACTCCCACTTCTCTTTTTCCTAGGATGGCTGTGACCTTCCGGTTAGAACCCTTCAGTCCCAACTCACACAGAGCAGGAAGCGAGACCCGGAGGGGAAGAGGACACACTTCTGCTTTCCTGCGGACACTGGACGGACATGGGTTAGGGGTACAGCTGATGCCTGACCTGGCATTTGAGGTCTCCCAAATCGGCCCAGCCTCTGGGATTAAATCAGTTTTATCCTTTTTAGCTGGGAGGGAGGGCAGGTCACTTCCCCCCTCTGGGCCTCAGTTCCTTACCTTGAAAACAGGAAGATTAACAGCGGCTACCTTCTCGAGTTAAAATGACAAGTGAATGAGGTTGTGTCTAGCACATGTAATCATAAGAAAGACGACTCCTGTTTAATCAAGCGTTGGCTCTAAGGAGGTAAGGAGTACCGTTTGGGTTTAGTGAGACAAGGGTTCGAATCCCACCTCTGCCACTCCCTGGCTGGACCTTGGGCAAGTTGCTTAACTACTCTGAGCCTTGGTTTCTTCATCTGGGAAACGGGTGGACCCATTACTTCACAAACACACAAGGGAGTGACAAGCCATAACACAAGGCCCAACACATAGTTGACACTCAATAAAAGTTGGTCATTATTAGCTATTGTCCTCTCCAATCACAGGTGCTGTGCCGCCCTCGCCCCAACTTCCAAATCTCAGAACTTCAGGCCAGAATTGGACCTCGTTTTCAGAGATCCGTGTTGGTTTGTTTGTTTTTCTTATTCTGGAGCAGGAGCAACTTGGGTGCAGAAGGCTGGGTCTAGCTCATCGCAGTTGTCAGGGATTGTTCCAGCAAACATTCCCTAGTCCATCTGGCCCTGCACTGGGCAATCATGGGGACCCAGGGTGACTGGGACAGCCTGGCCCGCCCTCCCAGAGCTCACAATCCAGTGGGAGACAGACTCACCCCCAGACAGTGACAACCCAGAGTGCTCAGGGCTGGGAGGACAGAAGCACAGGGCCATGGGTACCCAGTGGTGACAGAGGTGGCTCTGGGCCCTGCTGTCTCAGGGTTCCCATTCTGGCCAGTGTCAATATTACTAACACTAAACAAAATCAAAACAGCTGGTCCAGTCATGCGTCGCTTAATGATGGGGATACATTCTGAGAAATGCATTGTTAGGCGACTTCATTGTTTTGTGAACATCACAGAGTGTGCTTACACAAACCTAGATGGTATAGCCCACTACACACTAGGCTCTATGGTACTAATCTCATGGGACCACTGTCATATATGCAACCCATTGTTGACTGAAACATCGTTAGGCGGCACGTGACTGTAGTTTATTAAGCGTTATCTACGTTCCAGATAGTATTTTAAGTTTGTTTCTTGTATTCCCTCATTGAATTTTCACAACAAGCCTATCAGGTAGGTACTACTATTATGTCCATTTTATAGATGAGAGAACTGAGCCCCAGAGAGGTTAAGTCACCTGCCCAAGCTCATGAAGCGAGCAGCTGGGGGAGCCAGGATCTGAACCCAGGACATCTGGCTTAACCTGAGGCTCTACTGCCTCTCAACACACGAGTGGCTGAGAAGGGCTGATTTCCCAGGGAGAGGATGGGGGCTTGTGGATATGGGTGGAAGGAGGGCTGAGACTGAGGTGAGAAAAATCTGAGGTCTCACCTGCACGGTGCAGTGGGTGAGGGGGTAGATGCCACTCAGGCCTGGCGTCCAAGCCACCTCCAGCTCTGTGGGCTGGCTGGAAACCAGGTGGAGGTCGCGGGGGCGCTGGGGGAGCACTGTGGACAGATGAGGGGAGGGATTGACCCTGGGCGGCCTTTGCCCAAAGCTCCCCACCTTGCCCTCTACCCCAGCTCTGACCTTTGACCCAAGCCCCACACCCGCTGACACCCAGCTCCCTTTCCTGTCACCTTTGATGGTGGCCGTGCGGGATGTGGTGACCCCCTTGGCATTATGGGCTTCACAGGAGAAGGAAGACGTCTTGTTCAGGCCTGAGGAGTCATATGAAGAAGGGGCCCAGTGTCAGAGAGGGGAGAGGTTCCCGGGCCATGCCAGGCCGCTCCCTACCATGTCCCATCTGACAGGGTCCTTCCAGCTCACATGGGCACCTGCTTGAAGGGAGGGCTGAGGAAGGGGAAGCAATGCATTGGGGACACAGACCTCCATCCCCATACACAAGGACAGGCTGTGGCTCAGCCCTAACGCCCCACCACATAGACACACATACATGCAGACACACACACACGCACAGATATAGACACATACACATAGACGCACACTCACACATACACACACAGGCACACACACCCTCACACACACTTATGCACAGATAGAGGCACACATACATATTCACACACACATACATAGACACACACAGTTACATATCCACATAGAAACACATATACATAGACACACTAGACACATACACAACACACATAATTATGCACATAGACACACAAACACACACACATACAGAAACACACTCATACCTAGACACACAAGACACATACACAGACATGCACACTCACACAAAGACACACACACACTCACATACATGCACACAGTCACGCTGAGCCACACAGACACACGTAGAGGCGTATACACCTAACAGACACACCTGGTGTGTGTAACAGGCCCCCCGGGTGTGTGTCAATGTAGAGGTGTTTGTTCATTCATGAGCTCAGCTCCTACGAACCCCTCTCCCCCTCACTCACTCGCTCGCTCCCTGACTGCTCACTCTGTTCTAGCCGCACTGGCCTCCCGGTGTTTCTGGAACGCAGGCTCAAGCACGTTTCCCCCTCAGAACTTTGCACATCTGTCCCCTCTGCTTGGAACAGCCTTCCCACAGATGTCCACAGGGCTCCCTCCCACCCTGCTTCACATTTGTTACTCAGATCCACCTTCCCAGTCACTCTTTCCCTGACCTCCCTCCAGATCTGGCCGCTTCCTGCTCTTCTTTTTCTCTTTGGCTCTTCTCATCACAAAATACTCCACATATAACCTACGTATCTTGTTCCCTGTACGTCAACTCCACTAGCACGTCAGCTCCAGGAGGGCAGGAGTTTCTGTCTGTTTCATCCCCTGCTGTAGCCCCCCGGCCTAAGATGGCCTGGCACAGAGCAGGTGCTCCATAAATGTTTGTTGAATCAGTGAGTGAATTTATGTGCATACATTTGTGTACTTATGAGAGTTTCTGAGTGTAGCTGGAGCAACACGAGCATGTGTAATTCTGTGCGTGAGTGAGTTAACGTACATGTCTTGAATACTGTATTTGAGTGTCTGGGGGTGGGTTGCCTCCCCTCCCCAGTGTGGTTGTGGTGGGAACACAGGCAGACACACACACACACGCACACAAAGTCACATACAAGTACAGAGGCAAACACACTGACACACAGAGAGATACACAACCACACAACTAAACATCCACAGATTCACACACAGAGGAACATAGACACACGCGCACATACACAACATCTGAGTGACAGGATGTGAGAAGGACCAAGTCTTAAGTCTACATGCGTGACTGTAGTTCTGTCTGTCTGTCTGTGTTTCTGCGCGGTGTTTGTGGCTTGGTGCGTGTCTGAGGATGTTGTACGCCTGTGTGTTTGTCCTGCCGTGTGTGCCTGTGTTCCCACCATCTCCCCGCAGACACAAAGTTTCCTTTTCTCAGTCGGCAGAGGGAGTGGAATGAAGGAAAGGCGGCCGAGGCCGGAAGGGGGTGGGCAGGGAAGCTCCACCGCTCGCTGCCCAGGCGGCAGTTCCCAGCCAAGGTCAGGTGCCCGGCCCGCAGCCCCCGCGGCCGGCCCGGGGGAGGGACGGGACAGCCCCGGGCGGGCTGCCGGAGGGGCGGGGAGCCCGGGTCCCCTCCTGCCACCTGGCACGTGGGGGCCCGCCAGGGTCACCGCGCGGGAGCTGCCGCTGCCCGCCGCCGGAGGAGCCCTGGGGCGGGAGGGGGCTCTGGAGCCGGGTCCTGTTCCGACCGCAGCATTCCTGCCCCCGCATGAGTCACCGGGGCGCCCCCTCCCCCTCCCGCACTTCCGGCTGGCCCCGGGGGCGCGGCCCAGCATCCCCCTTCCCAGACCCCCGCGCCCGCACCTTGAGGGAGGGGAGAGCAGGGACCAAGGGGCCTGGGACCCCCTCCCCTCCAGGGGGCTCTCCCTCCGAGGCCCACTCCAGATGTGCTTTCCAGATGTACTTGTCCCCCTCCCTGCGCTCCCTACCCTCCCCCCTTGCGCTTTTTCCGAGGGAAGAAGAGGGCTGGAAGGAGAGAGGGGCACGGCCCTGAGTCAGATCAAGGGACAGACACACAAACGGACAAAATTCCTTGACACAGCAGCCCCCCCCAACACACACAATGAATCACACTCAACACACAGGGGCCATTATGGCACAAAAACAGACAACGTAGCACTGGCTAAGCTAAGCTACACACAGGGCCCATGCTGTTGCAAATATGCAGTGACACAAATACACACTCTGTGACTTACATGTATACACACAGGGGCTGATGGCGCACATACACAGAAACACACACACAAGCACACAATCAAACGTGCACACATTGACTACAAACAGCCAGCAACACAGTTGACACCTAGGCTGAAGCTGATGGACACACAAATTGCCCTGCCTGTTGAGATACACTCACCAAGTGACAGACATACACTGAGGTTGAAGCAGACAACAATACACACCGGGACATGAATAAGGTTTATGTTGACTTGCTCACATAGAAACACAGCCGAGCCTCCAAAACGTAGCTGGACACACTCAGGTTCCTTCAGACACATTCACTGAAATTCAGACTGATAAAAAAAACACACACTTATGTAAACATGCAGGACTGCTACAGACACACAAGTGTGGAGATGCTGCTGCGTGCACATAGGTGGCACAGACACACATATACACAGTGGCTGGTAAGCATCCCAGGTTCATTCACAAGAGGCAATTGGGGCAGGGCTGATATATCAGGAGACCAGACAGAAGCAGAAGGGTGTTGTTACTGCCTGCTGTGAATCACACACACACACACATGGATACAGGGTTCCATGTGACAGAGTCATATACCAAGACGCTCACCATGTGACATACACACAGACACCACAGAGATATCCGTGGACACAGATATATATACACACAGACAGCCAAAGTCAGTAGAAACACACCAAGTTTTCCACTGACACATCGGGACTCCGAAGGAAACAGAAGCTCACACCAAGACACACTCATACCTGTAGGTGCACACCTGTGAGCTGACATTGTCACTTCTATACAGGGAGGTATGTATAGTAGCCACAGAACACACTGTCGTCCTTCACTCTGCCGTCGCTCCCCACACACATACACACTCCACCCTTACACAGTGAGTCACAGCTGCGAACACACAAACACAAAGAAGGACAGACACCAGGCTGACGCTGGTATACTTAGTGACACACACACACACACGAACACTGACAGCCCCTGAGAAACTTTGAGAGACATACTGTAAAGACCCAAACACACAATGGGACAGACACACCAATTCACACACACACACACACACACACACATACACACATGCTGAGACATCCACAGAAGCTGGCCCTTGCTAAGGCACACCCTCATACAAAGAGGTTGATGCTGACTGATGCACTGAGACACAGGTCCAGAGGGACGTGAATACATACCCAGATCACACACACACATACACACTGAGATACACACACAGACCCCTCTCTGACAGCTCCGTTACACACTGGTACACATGCAGACCCTCTCACACCTGTGCCCCCCCACCATTTCTCTTTCTTCCTCGGATGGGGTGAGGGAACCAGCCCCTTCTCCCTCTCCCTCTCCAGGGTCCTGCCAGGCTGACTCAGGCTCCAGAGCCACCGGCCTGAGTCACCCCTCTGGGGGCTGGCATGATCACCACCGCTTCCTCGAACACTCAGGGCCCCCGGAATGCTGGGAATGTGAGCACCTCCCTCCACACTGGGAGACCCCCATCAGGAGTCCTCTCCCCACTCTAGCAGAGGGAGGCAACAGGTTGGGGGTGCCGGAAGCCAATGCCCTCCAGGTCTGGCAGCCTCCCTCTGACTGAGCCTCCCCCGTCTGTGTTCCTGTCTCTCCTTCCTCAGTGAGGGGAACCCCCTGTGCCCAGGGTCCCCCAGCTCTGCCTCTGACTGCTGTGTGACTCCAAGCCAAGTCCTGCCCCATCTGTGTGGTGTGGAAGGGGATGGTCACCCCGAGGTCCTGTCACTCAGACATCCCTGTCCTGTCTCTCCATCTTGGGTTACCTCTGTGGTCTGTCCCTTCCTGTGACTTTTGTTCTCTCTCTCTGTAACTGTCTTTCTCTGTTTCCCACTTTTTCCCCCTCTCTCTGTTTTCAGCTCTGTCCCTCCCGTGGGGCTCTTCAGGTCTAGAGGTGGGCAGGTTGGGGGTAGGTGGGGGAGAGGAGGGCACAGTTGATTCCGGTGCCCTGCTTGGGGTCAAGGGCTGACAAAGGGGCAGCAGGCCCACACACACTTGGGCCATGGAACAGCTCAGAGAAAACCCAGGACAAAGAATTCTATTCAGAGAGTCTGGCGTGAATGGAGGGAGAAAGAGCAGAAAGACAGACACACACACAGAGAAACAGAGAGAGATGGAGAACAGAGAGACAGAGAGAAAAGAGGAAATAGAGACAAAGATGCAGAGACAGAGAGACTCAGAGACAAAGAGAAAACAGAGAGGGAGACACAGGGACAGAGAGAGACAGACAGAGAGGAACAGGCAGACACTCACACAGAGGCATGAGCGCTCCCTTGCTCCCCACTTCCATCCTGCCTGGCCCTCTGCACTGAGCCTGCCACTTGCCCGGACTCACCTGGAATACGCAGCATGTACTGGGGGGCCTGGCCTGTGGCTGGAGCCAGGGAGACAGCATCCTGGAGCCAGAGGAGGTCCACGGGTTCTGGGGGTCCCTGGGCCCGGCAGCTCAGGTTGAAAGGGGTGTTGGCAGTCACGGTCCTGTCCTCAGGCTCCTCCAGGAAGTAAGGCAGGCCTGGGGGTGTTGGTGGTAGAGGCTGGGGTCCCTCTGAGCCCCTAGTGGGTCTGACTCACCACTAGGATGTTGCAGGTTGCAGGGTCTTGGACTCCTATGTCTGATCTCTCAGGACACCTGAACTTCCTTTAGATGTCTGACCCCTCAGGCCTCTACCCCCAGGGCACCTTATCCTAATATCTGATTCTCACCACCAATGTCTGATCCCCAGGTCATCTGAGCCCCTCATATCTCTTTTCCAGAATGTCTGACTCCTCATCCCATTTTACCAATGAGGAGAGTGAGGCCCCTGGGATGGGGGAGAGGGTTAAGGCGTGCCTCTGATGCCTTATCTGACCCCAGAATGTCCTACCCTACCATGTCTGACCCCAGGATATCTGACAACCCCCAAGATGTCTTCTCCCCCAGGACATACAATCCTGCACAGGCCTGTCCTCAATAATTTATGGACTCCCCAGCTTCCTGACCCCCCAAGATCTCTGATATTCGTAGGCTATATGTCCTCAGGGGACACCCTGAATCCTCTAGCACCCTCTGACCCTCAGGATTCCTGCCCTCCGAGGACCTCTGAGCCCAGGGCTCACCCTCCAGCCCAACATAACCAGGCTGGGACATGAAGGTCTTTCCTCGCAGGACCACCGCACACTGGTACCATCCTGCATCCGAGAGCTGCAGGGATGAGAGTCTGACAGGGCAAGAGGAGGGATAGAGAGGTTCGGGTCAGAGCTGGACACTGGGAGGGGGTCATCAGAGCTGAGAGAGGGGGGTCTGGACTGGAAACTCCTAAGAGCTAAGAAGTGGGTACTATTATTAACTCCTTTTACAGAAGAGGAAAGTGAAACCCAGGGTTACGTCACATGCGCAAAGCCACACAGCTGCAGAGTGACCATGCTGGGGTTCCAACCCAGGTGGGGTTCCTGCCCATGACTCTTCACCCACCATGTGACGGAGGTGGGGGGACAGGGATCGGGTTGTGGCTGGTCAGGGGAAGCTGGGCACCTGAGTTGGCTGACCACTTTCCAGTCGTCCTGCCCGTCTTCGCCCAGGGGCACCTGGGTCTGAGTGCTGTCCGCCAGCTCTAGGACCTGTCCATCCCGAAGCCAGGTCACCTCAGGGGGCTCCCCCTGAACCTGGAGCTCACACCGAAGGGCCCCCATAAGTCCCCGGGCACCGGTGATGTTTCCCGGGCTCCCCACAAAGGGGTCCGCCTCCGCCTGTGTGCCTACGGGGAGATGGGGAAGAGTCAGCTTAGGAAACCCCACTTCCCTCCGACTCCTCAGTTCCATCCCTCCCAGCCTGCCTACCGGCTGCCAGGACCCCGCCAGGCCCTCAGGCCCACATAGTTGTAGAGTGACCTCAGTGGAGGGTGGCGGGCGGAGGCTTTGATGGGAGGCTGGGAGCCTTCCCAGGGGACTGGGGTCCGGCCTCCGCCTTCATCCTTCGTCCGTTGGGAAGTAGGCCCAGGTCCTGGCAGCCTCCCACGCCCTGGACTGCCCAGCGGGCCAGCCCTTGCCCCTGCTGCCCTCCCTTAGGGTCTCTAGAGACTTGACAGATCAGGCTGGTGGATGGTGGGGAAAAACAGGGGCTGGGGAGGGAGAGGAGAGAGAAAAAAAAAGAAGAGAGACAGGGAGAGAAGCCAGAGAAAGTTGGGCATGGGGAGTCAGAGACAGAGGAACAGAGACCTGGAGAGAGACAGAGGATGAGAGATAAAGAGAGAGACACCCCCGAGAGGTAAAAAAGTGTGGGGAGAGACACACAGAGGGAAACAGACAGAGACAGAGAGAGAGACATCGACAGAGACACCTAGAGAATGGGGAGAGATGAAGACAGAGACAGAGAGAGACAAATGGAGACCCACAGAGATGGTAGAGCTGGTGCGAGAGACGCCCTCCCCTGAGACAGAGCAGACAGACAGTTGTGGGGCAGGGACAAGCGGGGGACGACAGTGACGAGGGTTTTCCCCTAGGGCTCCAGAGCTCTCTTCATCCCGCTGCGTGATTTAGTGTTCCTTTCTGGAAGATTCCTTCTGGGGGAAGCCCCCAGCTCAGCCCCTCTCCCCAAGGCCCTCAGCTTCTCCTGTCTGTCTGTCTCTCTCTGTGTCCATCTCCTTCCATCTCTGACCCTTCCAGTTTCTGTTTCTTGTCCTTGTGTTCCTCTCTCAGAGTCCCTTTCTCTCCCTTGGCCTCTTGGGTTTGTCTCGGTGTCTCCCTGTCTCCCTCTCTGTTGTCTCAAGGAAACTCCATGAGCAGCCTGGGGCTCACCCCCCAGCACCTGCCATCCATCCCCCCTCCTCTCCCTCCGGCCCCAGCCCCTCCATGGGCCGTCCTGCCCCACAAGCCCCCCATCACTCACCCTCGGGGGTCACGCACCCCCAGCAACACAGCACCAAGCACCAGGCCAGCGGAACCCTGCCCATCCTCGGGGCACCGCGCAATCGATGCCAAACTTTCCTCAGAAGTTTCTGAGCACCCCGAGGGGGTGGGGGCAGGGCCGGGCTGTCCCCGGCCCTCCCCCCAGCTCCGGGCTCCCCGGATTTGGCACTGCCCGCCTGGCACGGCGGGGGCCCCTCGCCAGCTCTGCTCAGCGGCTGCCTTCCCTGCTCCCTTGCCTCCTTCTCTCCCTCCCAGACTTCGGGCAACCCTTTCTCCGCCCCTGGCTCCCCCGCTGCCTCCGCCCACCGGCCGGAGGGAGCCTAGGGGGCCACCTGGACTGCGAGGGGTTAACTCAGAGAGGAGAGGACCAGCCCTGTCTTAAAGGGGCCCTGGAGGGAGGCTGAGGAGGGGGAAGGGGCCCCTGGTGGCTGCGCCCCTAATCCTGGGCCAGCGATGGGGGGAGCTGTGCGTCTCGCTAACTCGGCTCTGGGCGCTGTCCCTCTGGGCTCTCTCGTGTCTGGTAAACATTCCTCCAGAACTCCACTCCCCTCTCAGCCTGTGTGACACCCCCCTCCCCTGCCTCCACCCCCAGCCCAGCCCCAGCCAGGCACTCCCCCTCACGCTCACAGCTCCTTGGACAAGGACACACACACACACACACACACACACACTCAGATGTCATCAACACACAGAGGCTGGGACAGGAGGAGACACGCAGAGGCACGCTGCCAGCCCACGGACACACTCAGACAAGCCGGGTCAGAAACTCCATTCCCGGAGAAACCTCAGAAACCAGAAAGAGAGGACGTGGCCAGGTGGGCATCCCCAGGGTACGCTTGGGGAGACACAGATCCTCATACGAAAAAGACCCACATGGACACAGGAACAAGGTACCAGTGTACAGGCACCCACAGAGGTGGAATCCTAGCTCTACCACTAACTGTGTGACCTTGCAAGTGACTGGCCTCCCTGAGCCTTGGTTTGTCCATCTGTAAGATGGGAATAAGAATAGAACCCACTTGGCAGCCTAGAGGGAGGATATCCCAGGGCAGTGCATGTGCAGTTCTCCGCACGTGGTGACGACAGCTGACAAGGTGTCCTTGGTTTTTTGCATCTTGTTTGTCTCTGTGCACTTGTATTGCTGTCTCCCTCTGGCGGGATTGTGTGTCCTGGTCCTTGCAGATCTGGTGCCTGCACGGTTGTTCTGCTGCTTGTCCATTTCTGTGCCCCTGTGTTTTGCACACGGGGGTCTCTGCATGCCTGGGTGTCTGTGCAGGGGGGGGTGGGCATCCACTCTTCTCCTCTTGGCCATTCTGTTTGTCTAGTGGTATTCCTAGGGCTCCTCACAAAGTCCTATCCATTCAGTCTCCTGATGTCTCTCCCTCCTGCTCCTTCTCCCCACCCACCCCGTATGGTTCAGCCTTATCCTTTCCCACCGCCCCCTGCCCTGGCCTCCTCCCTGGCCTCCTTCCCTCCACTCTTGCTCCCGCCAACCCATCTCCCATTCAGCAACCAGAGGGATGTTTCTGAAACTCAAATCTGACCCTGTCCCTCCCCTGCTTAACTTTGGCTCCCTGCTGCCTTTGGAGTGAGCTCCCAGCTCCTCAGCCTGGCACTCAGGGCTCTTCACCATCAGCCTTTCTGAGCTGTCTCATATGTGTCCCATTTCAGTGACAGCCCCAGCATCCATCCTGCCACCCAAGCCTGACCCTCAGGGTCCTCCTGGATACCCCCCACCCTGCAGTAAGTTACCACGGCCCCTAGAGGATTCAGCTTCACAAACCTCTCTCCCACCTGGCCCTGCTCCCCTCCCCATGACCTCACCCTGGTCCAGCCCCATCCTCTCCCTCCTGGACCCCTGCTCTGGCCTCCTCCTTGGGCCCTCCCTCTCAACTCTCCCTGCCTCTAACCTGTCAACAACCAGAGGGGAATGTTTCTCAATCCCAAGTCAAACTCTTTTCCTTCTCTTCTCCAAACCTCCCAAGATAAAACCCCAGACTGCTTACTGAGCCCTCCAAGGATCCCCTCATGTCTCTTCACCCTCCCCTCCCCACCCCCAGGCTTCTTTCCCTTGCTCACAGGCCTCAGGGCAACTCCTGCAGCCCCTTGTTCTCAACTCCTACACACCCCTCACCCCCATCTCAATATTCCCTCTCCATTGTGTCACTGCCTGGCCCTGCCCAGTCTAATCTAGGTCCCCATGTCATTCACTCCTAACATTTTGTGCTTTTCTTTGGCAACACTCTGCGTGGGTTGTCATGATATATTCATCGGCATGTCTGTGTGTCTCATGTTGTCTCCTCCACTGCTCTGTGGGCTCTGGGAGGGCAGGGACCGGGTATATCCCAACTACCCTGTAAAAGCCCTGCCACAAGGGGTACAATGAATAACTGTGATATTTTTGGGTGGTGTGAATATGTGCAAAAGTCTGCCCACTCGTTTTTTTTTTTTTTTTTTTTCTTGTGAGGAAGATCATCCTTGAGCTAACATCTGCCAATCCTCCTCTTTTTGCTGAGGGAGACTGGCCCTGGGCTAACATCCATGCCCATCTTCCTCCACTTTATATGGGACACTGCCACAGCATGGCTTGACAAACTGTGCATCGGTGCGCACCCGGGATCCGAACCAGTGAACCCCGGGCCGCCACAGCGGAGCCCGCGCACTTAACTGCTTGCGCCACCTGGCCGGCCCCACTGCCCACTTGTTTGAACACGTTGGGGGCCCTACACACCCAGGGCTCAGTGGACCCGGCTGTGTGCACGGCCAACTTGAATCTGTGTTCATTCACTCAAGAACTATTCATTGAGCACCTAATGTGTACATGCGGTTTACTTTCAAATGCATTTAAAAAATGAGATGGGCAGGTGGGTAGAAACGTTCCCTGTGGGGCCGGCCCGGTGGCATAGCGGTTAAGTTCATGCATTCTGCTTCGGCAGTCTGGGGTTCGCCAGTTCAGATCCTGGGCAAGGACCTACTCACTGCTCTTCAAGCCATGCTGAGGCAGCATCCCATATAGAAGAGCTATAACTCTACAACTATGATGCACAGCTATGAACTGGGGCTTTGGGGAGAACAAAAAGAAAAAAGGGGAAGATTGGCAACAGATGTTAGCGCAAGGCCAATCTTCCTCCAAAAAGAAAAATAAATAAATAAACAAAAGAAACATTCCCTGTGCCAGGGCCTGGGGATCCCACAGTGAGGAGGATGAATCTCTGCCCTCATGGAACTCAAATTGCAAGAGGAAGAAAGACAACAGTGAGATAAATATTTATCGGGGTGCAGGATGGGCAGTGAAGAAAAATAAAGCAGAGAAGGGGATCGCAAGGGATGGGAGTGCTATTTTAGAGAGAGTGGTCAGGGAGGGCCTCTCTGAGGTTATGATCAAGATCTGAAGTAAATTAGTAAGTAAGTCACGTAAGGAAGGGCATTCCAGGCAGAGGAAGCAGCCAGTGCAAAGGCCTGGAGGCAGGCATGTGAAGAACTTCAAGGAGGAGACAGTGGGGCTGGAATGGATGGGGTGGGGAAGGAGATGAGGTCAGAGAGGGCCTTGGCCTGGTGAGGAGGACTTTGGTTTTTATTCTAACTATGACAGAACCCCCTGGGGGACTATTCCCCCCCCCAGGTTTATTGAGATTGGTGTACAATATGATGATTCAATTAATACACGTACATATTGTAAAATGATTACCACAATAAAGTTAGTTAACACATCCATCATCTCATTATAGTTACCATTTTTGCATGTGTGTGTGGTGAGAACATTTAAGATCTACTCTCTGTAAATTTCAAGTATACAATACAGTATTATTAACTATAGGCATGATGCTGTACATTAGATCCCCAGGACTTATTCATCTTATAATTGAAAGCTTGTACCCTTTGACCAACATCTCCCCACTTCCCCTACCCCCCAGCCCCTGGCAACCACCATTCTGCTCTGTTTCTTTTTCATTAAATTAATTAATTTTTAGTGAGATATAATTAACATATAACATTATGTCAGTTTCAGGTGTACAACGTAACGATTCAATATTTGTATATACTGTGAAATGATCACCACAATAAGTCTAATTAACACCCGTCACTACAGTTACAAAAAATGTTTTTCTTGTGATGAGAACTTTTAGGCTCCACTGTCTTAGCAACTTTCAAATATGCAATACAGTAGTAACTATAGTCACCATGCTAGATCCCTGTTTCTGTGAGTTTGGCTTTTTTAGATTCCATATATAAGTGAGATCATACAGTATTTGTCTTTTTCTGTCTGACTTATTTCACTTAGCATAATGCCCTCAAGGTCCGTCCATGTTGTCACAAATGGCAGGATTTCCTTCTTTTTTATGGCTGAATAATATTCCATTATATATATCTTACATTTTCTTTATCCATTTATCTGCTGGCAGATACTTAGCTTGTTTCTAGGTGTTAGCTATTGCGAATAATGCTGCCATGAACGTGGGGGTGCAGATATTTCTTCGAGATCCTGATTTCATTTCCTTTGAATATATACCCATAGTGGGATTGTTGGGCCACATGGTAATTCTATATTTAATTTTTTGAAGAACCTCCATTCTGTTTTCCATAATGGCTGTACCAGTTTACATTCCCACCAACAGTGCATGAGGCTTCCTCACTGGGTAGCTTTGAGCAAGGGAGAGACCTGATTTGGTTTTAAAGATTTTATTTATTTATTTTTTTCCCCCCAAAGCCCCAGTAGATAGTTGTATGTTATAGCTGCACATCCTTCTAGTTGCTGTATGTGGGACGCGGCCTCAGCATGGCTGGAGAAGGGGTGCGTCGGTGTGCACCCGGGATCCGAACCCGGGCTGCCAGCAGCGGAGCGCGAGCACTTAACCGCTAAGCCACGGGGCCGGCCCTGATTTGGTTTTAAATGGTCCCTCTGCTAAGGCCAGTAAGTGAAAGGTTGATGGGAAACTTTCTACTGGAGGGATCAGGACCTGGACACACTACTTGGGACCATTGATTATTGTGATGTGATGCTCCGGGAAGGAGCCCAGCACCTCCAGTGAGAGGCTCTTGCCACAATGAGCCCGAAACTGATCTAATTTCCAGTTTACTGGGAATTCCTGGGGATGAAAGACATCTTGAGTGGTGCCATAAAGATGCCGTCAGCCAACTCTGGGTATGAAAAATTGTACAGGGCAAATGCCCAGTGTCTTCAAGCAATCATCTTCAAGTAAAAAGAGGAAGATTGGCAACGATGTTAGCTCAGGGCAAATCATCCTTAGCAAAAAAAAAAAAAATTTGGGGAATGATTGCAGTTTTTTTTTTTGGCTGATGAAGATTTGCCCTGAGCTAACATCTGTGCCAACCTTCCTCTATTTTGTATGTGGGTCACCCCCATAGCATGGCTGACAAGTAATGTAGGTCTGTGCCCAGGATCCGAACCCGCGAACATGGGCGGCTGAAGCAGAGCATGCAGAACTTTAACCACTAGGCCACAGGGCCAGCCCCTGGTTGCAGATTTAAAAGACCTAAGACGGTTCAAATGAAGGTAGTGTGTGGTGAGCCTTTGGATCTGGATTTGAACAAATCCAACTATAAAATATTTATGTGACTGTCAGGGACATGTGAACACTGATACTGCAGAATTGCTAATAGTGATAGGTGTGAAAATGGGTATTGTGGTTGTGACTTTTAAAAAGCAAATTTTAAAGGGGGGAGTTATTGTTTAATAAGTCTTTGTTGGGGATATGAAGTTTTGGGTATAGACAGTGGTGATGGTTAGCCAGCCCTGGTGGTCTAGTGGTTAAGATGCAGCACTCTCACGGCTGTGCCAAGGGTTCATTTCCTGGTCAGGGAACCACACCACTGGTCTGTTGGTTGTCATACTGTGGCGGCTGTGTGTGGCTGTGATGCTGAAAGCTATGCCACCGGTGTTTCAAATACCAGGAGGGTCACCCATGTGGACAGGTTTCAGTGGAGCTTCTAGACTAGACTAGAAAGAAGGACCTGGCCACTCACTTCCAAAAAAATTGGCCATGAAAACCCTGTGAATAGCAGCAGAGCATTGTCTGATATAGCGCCAGAAGGTGAGAGGATGGTGCAAAAAGACCGGGCAGGGTTCCACTCTGCTGTCCACAGGGGCGCTAGGAGTCGATGGCACTAAAACAAGAAGTGGTGATGGTTACACAACATTGTGAATGTATTTAATGCCAGTGAATTGTACACTTACTGATGGTTAAAATGATAAATATTATGTATATTTTACCACTCACACAAAAAACTGAAGACCATAATAGTTCTAAATACTTTTATTTTGGAGTCCAATAATCCTTTAAGCCATTTTGAGTTTATATTTTCTTTAACTTGCTACTGAAATCATCAAAACTCATATCAACTTTCATATCGATGCAGTGCAAGGTCCATTTCTTTTTAAATAAATGAGTTTGCTGGTATTTCTGATTCCAAATTTCCCTGAACGTGAATTTTGAGTGCACAGGAAAGCAAGTCATTGCCTTAATTTAAAAGAAGAAAACCTTAAGCCTCATTCATTCCACATCAAACTGACATATAAAAAATAGTAATAACAGTAAATCCAAGAGCTTAGCCTGTATTTCATTCCCATTAGGTTGCAGAATTTTTCACATTTCTTCTTTTAAATTTAGTAACCCTTTTATAATTTTATTTATTTATTTTCTCCCCCCAAAGCCCCAGTAGATAGTTGTATGTCATACCTGCACATCCTTCTAGTTGCTGCATGTGGGACGCAGCCTCAGCATGGCCGGAGAAGCGGTGCGTCGGTGCGCGCCCGGGATCCGAACCCGGGCCGCCAGCAGCGGAGTGCGTGCACTTAACCGCTAAGCCACGGGGCCAGCCCTAGTAACCCTTTTAGATGCTAAATCCTCAGTCAAGGTGTGATCAGCTAGAAAGTTAGGACCTGATCCCAATCTCATCTTCCAATTCTCTATTATATCACTGTTTTGTGCCACCTTTATGGAACTTAAGCCAAAAAATAAAATAACAACATCATGGAAAATTAAAAAAAAAAAAGAAAAAAGGAAACTTTAGCTAGTGAGATATGCGTTACTGAAGCATTCAGGAGATGAACTGATTTCTTCAATTTTCTCTGAAATGCCAAAAAAACGAGCTGGATGGGGAAATGTGCTAAAGCAGCGTGGCCAACAGCGCCCTGTACTGTTCCCTCAACTTTGCTGCATGTCTGAAAACTGTCATTATTAAAATGTTGGGGGGAAATGTCCTTTACTGCTAGAAATGCACATTCCATTATTTTCTGGGATTTGCTTTAAAATAATCATGAGAGTGACAGATGAAATAATAATAGCAGAAAGTTGATGGTTATATGACGCAAGTGATGCGCCAGGAGTTCATCGCACTATTCTCTCTACTTTTGTGTTGGAAAACCTCCTTACTAGATAATTAACAAATAAAAAGACAACTCTGGTTTCCTAGAGGCTGGAGCGGGGCTAGGGTCTGTTTCAGCATCTGCTTTCAGACTGGGAGAGTTCCCAGGGTGTGGATTGCTACTTTTGGGCTTTCTCTATCTGGGGCGCCCCCAGGCTGGCAGTTCTGCCCGGTACCTTCTCCCTGCCCGGCCCCCACACAGCGGCCTTGCCGGAAGTGAGGCCCAGGACAGGGCTCCCCTCCCCCACCTCCACATCTGGCACTGATGTCAACAGCCAGGGTGGGCGGGGGCCATGTTTTTTAGCTCCCACCCAGCCTCGAGGGAGGGGTGGACCCCCCAACTCCACCCCTTACTCACAATGATGGACATGTCACACACAGGCTAGGCCCTGCCACGGACAGACCAGGGGCCAGAAACGAACTTTTATTGCAAAACGGGGACCTTCAAGTCACAAGGACGTCCGACCTGGCCTCTTCCCTGACACAGGAAGTTGGAATCTGGCCCCTACCTTGGTCGTCTAGTCCCGTCTACTGGGTCTAATGGGGACTCTGACGCAGAGTAGGGGTGCTGGGTCAGCGTGTGTGTGTTGGGGGGGTGGGACGCAGGGGAGGCTTTCAACTTGGTTACATAAGCACAAGTGGGAAGGTGCTTGCTGGTCTGAGGGTCCTCCTGCGTCTAAGTTTACTTGGTTCCCAGGCCTGTGCGCACAACTGCACACTGGGGGTATGTTCATATTTGGGAGAATTTGCAGATCAGGGTGCTTGGAAACGGGTGTCCTTGAGAGCTGAAGGTGCAGAGGAGGCCGTGGCTGTGCCTCCTTGGGAGTAGTGTGTCTCAGTGGGAAGATATTCGGGACCCAGGGTGGTGTCATGTGTGGGCTGGCTATGTGGTTCAGTGGTTGGGGGCATGTGGATGGTGACGGTCATATGCCTGGATAGTGGCGTGGTCACACGACAGAGGGCATGTTGGGGCTGAGGACAGGGATGGTCTGTGTGGTGACATGACCCAGGAGGGGACATGTTCTTCTTTGCACCAGGCTCCCAGAGATAGTGGCACTGGTAAGCTTGATGAGTGAAGAGGGCATGTGGGTCATGAACATGGTGGCTGTTTTGGTGGCCTGTGAAGGTGGCAGCCAAACTCCACGTGTGGGTTGTGAGTCCAGGGGCGCTGTGTTGTGTATGAGTTGGTGGGTTATCTGGTCATGTGGTCATGATTCCAGATGGACCAAATTTACGTCTGTAAAAAGCTTGTGTGGCCGAGTTGCCTCGTGGCCCTCGTGGTTGTGTATGGGTGTGTGGTTGTGTCTCAACAGCTGTGTGGGCGGACGACTGTGGCCCTGTGGATGTGTAGGCTGAGTATCTGTGTGACCAACTCTAGGAAACAGCTATGTGCGCATGAATTTGGCTGCCTGCGGTGTACACTTGCGGCTCTGTAGACACAGCCATGTCCATGCCACTGTCGAGGCCACCAGCCCTCAAGTCTCCCTCCTTCAACTGGTCCACATGGTGGAGTTGGGTGGAGGTCAGTGGGGCCGGACTTGCAGCTGGAAGGCTGGGGGGATGTTGAAAAGGCCACTGACAGCTGGCTGGAGGCTCAGGGCACTCGGTGGGCATGGGCTCTCCAGGGAGAAGGCCTGCAGGATGGCGGTGACTAGGAGGAAGATCTCTGCTCGTGCCAGGCCCTCCCCGAGGCAGACGCGCTTACCTGGAGGGAAGAGGCAGATGGAGCTGGGCCAGCCCTTCACACCCAGGCCCGGGAGGACTCGTGGGTGGGCAGGGACAGGCCCAGCAGATACCTAAGGAGTAGGGCAGGAATGCCTCTTGCTTCTTGACCCTTCCGTCCGCACCCAGGAACCGGCCTGGATTGAACTCCTCCGGCTGCTCAAAGACCTCAGGATCATGGAGGACAGAGCCGAGGAGGGGGAAGACCTCAGTGCCCTGCAGAGAAATCATAATAAAACTACAAATATCCCCACCACCCAGGCCTTCGGTTCCCAAGGGCAGAGCACAAGAGTCTACGGTGTTGGGGACACCAGTTCACAAAACATAAAGGCATCAACATGGATCAAGCATTTTATATATATTATCTCATATGTTATAGGTACACGTATTATAACACACACACACACACTCATCAAATCTTTTTAACAAGCCTAGGAAGCAGTTACTAATATGATCCCCATTTTAAAGATGAGAAAAATGAGACTCAGAACTTAAGCAACTTGCCTGAGGTAACATTTGGACACAGCAGAGCTTATTATTTTTATATCTTGCTTTTAAACTTTGGGAGTATTCAGCTGTGGCTGCTCTAAGCCCCTGGCTCAGAGTCCAGCTTTTTGCCGCTTTGGTCTTCGGGATGTGAAGGCAAGGGTGGGCAGGAGAGGTCTGTCCATGGAGGCTCCCCCTGCCCAGGACCGGGGGGAGTGGTAGCCCCTTCAGCCAAGATCAGAATTACCATGTTCCTAGGACTGTGGTGGAGGGAGAAGGATGGTGGGAGTGTGAGAAGAGGGAGAGGGACCTCCTTTGTTAGGGACTCTGGCTAACGGGAGTCTGGGCTGGGAAGGTGAGGGGGCTACAGGAAAAGACAGGGTCATGTTATTGCTGTCAGAATAAGAGAAAGGCAGGCAGTAGTGGTTAAAGCACAGGCTCTGGGTGCAAATCCCGCCTCTACCACTTGTAGGCTGGGTGACCTTGGCAAGTCTTCTAATCTTTCCAGGCCTCAGTTTCCTCATCTGTAAAATGGGCATGATTATGGTGTAGGGTTGCTCTGAAGATTAAATAGGGTAATACTCACGCGAAGCATTTAGACTACGACCTCAATCGTTGATGCCTGTTATTCTTGTTGTCATTATCCATAGTTGTTGGAGTTGCAGTAGTCATGACATTAGCAATAGTTGCTGCTGCTGCATTCACAGGACCCCCCCACCCCTGAATGGAGCCGAGCTGGTGTGTTAGAAGCATTAGCTCGTAGATTCCTTACAATCCCAAGTCGATACTATACTTCCCAGTTTAGAAGAGGGGTGGATTGATGTTCAGAGGGTGAAGTGATTTGCCCAAAGTCCCAGCTAGAAAACAGCATGGCTGGATTCTAACTGCCATGAGGTTTGATTCTACAATGAAGTTGGAGGAGGGAGCAGCTTGCGGTCTGGTGCCTTGGGTTTCCCAGGAGACATCGCCCCCTGGTGGTGCTGGCCTTGAGTTGCTCTTGAATGAAGGTGCAGGAACTGAGAGAGAGACAGAGACAGAGATAGAGAGACAGAGAGAGAGAGAGAGAGTGCAGGGAGGGAGAGGGAGAGACTGATTGCGTGTGTTTGCAGCAGGGGCTGAGGGGGAGGGCCCAGCCCTCAGTTTTCAAATTGCTTCCCTGCCTGTCACCTCATCTGACTGTCCCAACCACCTTGGAAGGAGGTAGAATTAGGATATCCACTGGACAGACGGGGAAATTGAGGCCCAGAGAGAGAAAACCAGAGGGCAAGAGAACTGCATACAGAAAGAAACCAGAGAGAGAGGGACAGAGAGAAAGAGAGGGAGATGTCAGCAAGAGAGGAGAGAGGAAGAGAGAGACCAAGATCCGGGGAAAGGCAGAGGGACACACAGATGGCACCAGACTCAGGCCTGAGGCAGAGACAACTGCGGGGCTGTGGCTGACCCGCACACTCACCTGGGGCAGGGTGTACCCTCGGAAGCAGGTGGTCCTCGTGAGGGCCCGGGGCATTCCCATGGGCACCAGTGCCAGCAGCCGCTGCGCCTCGTGCAGAACTGCATCCGTGTACGGGAGGTGGGCTCGGTCCCCCAGGCCTGGCGCCCGGCCCGGCCCCAGCTCCCGCATCAGCTCCTCCCGCACGAGCTCTGCACCCAAGAAGAGGGGGGCTGAAGGTCAGAGCTGGGGTGGGGCCCTGTGCTCCTCCCTTTGGAAGCCCCATCTTCTTGAGCAGCTGTGGTTAGCAGTGAGGCTGGCGGGTGGGGAGGGAGTCCCCCAGCCCTCGCTGGGCCCAGGTCCCACACATCCTGTGTGCTGAGCATCACGTCTCTCTTAATTCCGACAGCAATCCTGTGAGGTGGGGACCATTACCTATCCCCATTACCCAGATGAGGAAACTGAGGCCCCGAGAGCTGAAGTCACAGCTGACTCCATTCCATCAAGGCCACCAGACCTTAAGTCCCACCTTCCAGGTCAGCCCACACCATTGGCCCACAGCGTTTAGCGCCACTGCCTGACCCTGAAATACCGGACTTCCTCGGGGCTCACTCCCAGCCCTGCCTCTCACCCACGCCCTCCCTCACCATCGCAGCCTGTACCTGCCTGTGATCTCATGACCCCAGTTCATTTTCCGTCTCCAGTTCTGAGCCCCGTGTCTTGTGGCCTCCTGGATGCCTCCCCACAGGTGGCCCCAGACCCCTCACACTCAAATTGTCCCAAATCGGCCTCAGCGTCTCCTTTGAAACAGCTCCTCATCCCTTCTGTCCCTATCTCAGGGTGGCCCCCAGTCCCCTGGCCTCTCCCTGGGTGCCTCCCTCCTCCATCATTCTCCACCACTTGTCTACTTGGCCCCCTCTTCCCTCCCCACAGCCCAGCTCAGCCCTATCTTCTTCTGCCCAGGTCCCTTCCCTGTCCCCCCTCCCTGGGCTCCTGGCATCCTCTCTCACACCTTACAATCTACCTCTTCATGGTGACCCACAGGACTTTTCTAAAATGCTCATTTGACTCTGCTCTCCCCTGCTCAGCATCCTTCCATGGCTCCCCATTACTCAGGATTAGGCAGACAATGGACCACTAAGGCGACAAGGCCCTAAGACATCTCCTGCCTCATTTCTCACTATGCCTCACGCTGCAACCAGCAGCCCCCCAATTTCTTCTCACTCTTCAGACCCCCCAAATGCCAGGCTCATTCTTGCCTCCAGGCTCTGGCTCAGGCTCTCCACTCTCCTGAACATTCTTCCCTCTCGAGCCCTCGTTTCTGTTCCCAGAGCCTGGCTGGTGGAAAAGGCTCCTACCTTGGACCCGAGGGTATTTGAGCAGGAGCAGGAGGGTGTAGCGGACTGTGGTGCTGACTGTCATTGTCCCGGCGAACAGCAGATAAGTGACTGTCATCAGCAAGTTCTTGTCAGTGAATTCCGTGTTTGGGTCTTGTTCCTCCTGAGAGAAACCAGGCGGAGGGGCTCAGAGAACACAGGCTGCGGGGAGTAGAGGCCCAGCACAGCCAGGCTTGGGGTGCAGCTCAGCTTGTCAGGGAGTTTAAATAAATGTTTGGGAAGGTCGGGAAGTGGGCTCTTGATACTAATTCTTTCTGGCTGACATGTTTTTAAAAATGAAACAGAATGGTCACTATTAAAAAAACCCACAAAATAACAAGTGGTGAGGATGTGGAGAAATTGGAAGCCCTGTCACCCTTGGTGGGAATGTAAAATGGCGCAGCTGCTATGGAAAATGGTATGGTGGTTCCTCAAAAAATTAAAATAGAATTACCACACAATCCAGCAATTCCACTTCTGGGCATGTACCCAAAAGAATTCAATGTGTCTCAAAGAGATATCTGTATACCCATGTTCATAGCAGCATTATTCACAATAGCCAAAAGGTGGAAGCAAGTGTCCACTGATGGGTAAATGGCTAAGCAAAATGTGGTACATACATACAACGGAATGTTATTCAGCCTTAAAAAGGAAGGAAATTCCGTCGCATGCTACAACATGAATGAACCTTGAGATGGATGGGGAGTTGTTTACTGGGTACAGAATTTCAGCTTTGCAAGTTCAAAAGGGTTCTGGAGGTTGGTTGCACAACAATGTGAATATAATTAACACTCCTGAACTGTACACTTAAGAATGGTTAAGATGGTAAATTGTATGTTATGTGTATTTTACTACAATTAAAATTTTTCTTTTAATTTAAAAAATGAAAAAGAAATGGAGCCACAAGGTTAAGAAAAAATTTCTCTCTCTCCAAGAACAGGGTGACTGCATTTATTCAAAGAATGTGGCCCTGAATTTCTCTCGTAATTCCAAAGTTTGTACAATTCAGAACCAGTTATTTCCTGGGGCCAGCCCGGTGGCGTAGTGGTTACGTTCGCATGCTCCACTTCGGCGGCCCTGGGTTTGTGGGTTCGGATCCCGGGTGCAGACCTACACAGCGCTTATCAAGCCGTGCTGAGGCAGGCATCCCATGTGTGAAACAGAAGGAGATGGGCACAGCTGTTAGCTCAGGGCTAATCTTCCTCACCAAAAAAAACCTAGTTATTTCCACAGGAGTCACCTTAATTCTAATTTTCTCACATAATAATAAATTGTTTTTGGGGCCGGCCCCGTGGCTTAGCGGTTAAGTGCGCGCGCTCCGCTACCGGAGGCCCGGGTTCGGATTCCGGGCGCGCACCGACGCACCACTTCTCCAGCCATGCTGAGGCCACGTCCCACATACAGCAACTAGAAGGACGTGCAACTATGACATACAACTATCTACTGGGGCTTTGGGGAAAAAAAGGAGGAGGACTGGCAATAGATGTTAGCTCAGAGTCGGTCTTCCTCAGCAAAAAGAGGAGGATTAGCATGGATGTTAGCTCAGGGCTGATCTTCCTCACACACACACACAAAAATTGTTTTCACATTAATTAAATTAATTAAAATTGATCGCATTAATATAAATTAAGTAGACTTTATTAGTATAATTTGATATTGCAAGATTTCGTAAGTAAATGATTGTAATTCACAGGAAATGTCCTGTGTGGGTGAGGGGAGCAGGGGGTGGGGTGAAGTGATGGTGGGGATGGTTGGTGGCAGGTCACTGAGCATGGAGCCTGAACAGGGGGCCAAGGTTGGAGGGAGGAGAAAGAAGAGAGATGCAAGAGACTCAAACACAGGCGAGGAGGTGGGTGGGGAGAGGCAGAGAGAACAATGTGCCAGAAAGAAAAGATATGCACACACATGCAGAGACACATATCCACAGAGAGACATGCAGAGAGAGAGAGAGAGAGAGAGAGAGAGAGAGAGAAAGAGAGAGACATGCACAGAGAGACAGAGAGGGAGGTCTGACAGAGACGCCCAGCCACACCCCGGTGGGGGCTGGCCAGGCCATCTGCCCCTTTCAGGACCCCCCCCCCCACCACCATACCCTTGCCCCACCTGCGCCATCTTCAGCAGGAAGGTGTCCACGACGTCGAGTGCAGGGCCTGAGGTGTCCAGGTTCCCCCGGTGCCGCTGCACCTGCTGGACGGCGAAGGCAGCCAGGGTGCTCAGGTGGCCCAGGAGCTTCGTGTGGGGGCCGGGCAGGGGCTGCAGGAGCCGGGAGAACATCTCGTAGGTCTGTGGGGAGAAGGGCAGCTGTTCTCATGGGGGCCCGGCAGGAGGTGGGCAGGAGCCTGGGGAAGGTGGCCAGAGAGGGAGCCCACTCACTCACCTGGCCCCACGGGGAGCTGATTCCCAGCAGGGTGCCGCCAGCCGCCCTGACCAAGGCCTGGAACTCCTTATCCTCGTAGGGGAAACGGAGGCCGAAGGTGAGGGAGCAGACCATGTTGGAGGTGGCCTGGGCCAGCAGCAGGGAGGGGTCAAATGCCCGTCCTAGGGGGGCAGGGGGCAGAGGGGAGCTGACTTGGAGGTGGAGCGGACCGACGGAGATGGAGTGGGAGCCAGACACAACCAGAAAGAGACAGGCAGAGAGAGAGACAGACAAACAGGGAGAGACAGAGCAAGACAGACAGATAAGGAAAGAGAGATAGACAGGGAGAGAGAGAGAGACAGATTGGGAAGGAGAGAGAGAGAGACAGGGAGACAGACATACAGACAAGGAGAGAGACAGACTTACAGGAGAGAAAAACAAGTGGAGAGAGAAAGAAGACAGAAAGAGCGATGTGACACAGGGATAAAGAGACCCTCAGGGAGACAGTAAGACAGAGAGAGGGTGGAGAAGGAGCTGGAGGTGGAGGTGAACAGAGCCCCCAGCCCAGCCCCAGAGTCCAAGACATCCCCTCCCACTCATTCCTGGGGCCGGGTTGGGGGACTCCCAGGCACAGTGGGAAGGTCCTCCCCACACTCAGGCAGGACCCTGGGGGCCCTGGGCTGACCCGCCCTGCTGACCTTCTGTCCCCTGGAACGCTTCCACCAGACACCGGATCTCTGCCTGGATCAGCTCCTCGCCTTCCCGCTTCCCCATGCCCAGGTCCCGTAGTGTGAGCATGGTGAATCTCCTCAGCTGCCTCCACCGCTCCCCATTGGAGAAGAAAACCCCTGTGCAGAAGGTAGACTCAAGGAGGGACCGGACCCTTTCCCCATTCCCTAGGACCACCCCCTTCCTCCCAGTGAGGTGCCCCAAGGGGAACTCTTCAGGCCCTGTCCTGAGTCTATACCAGCCTAGCCCAGGGATGAGGACTCAGTAGGTGCTCAATAAATGCCTAACCTTGGGTCAGAGGGTGACATTCTCCTGAGAAATTGGGAACAAGGTTATCCAGGCTCCTGCTGTTCTGTGATTAACCAGGGTGAGTGAAGCTTTCTTCCTTCTTTCTACCTGTCCACCTTTTTATTCCTCTTTTCACCCACACATCTTTTTATCTTTCTTTCTTCTTGCTTTTTCTCCCTCCCTTCCATCCATTCCTCCATCCTAACATTTATGGAAGACTATAGGGTACCATCCATCCATCCATCCATCCATTCATCCATCCTAACATTTATGGAGGACTATTGGGTCCCATGCATCCATCCATCCATCCATCCCAACACTTATGGAGGACTATTGGGTCCCATCCATCCATCCATCCCAACACTTATGGAGTACTATTGGGTCCCACGCCTCACGTCGTTTGGAGGCTGAACAGGGAGGGAGGAGGATAGAACTGCACTGTCTCCCTCCCTTATCCAAGAGATCTGCTCTGGACAGACCATTCCCTGCTCTGAGCTCAGTGTTTCACCTGCAGAATGCAGGCCCAAAGTGGCCTCCTGGACACCTCGTCCTGAGTGTCCCCTGCCCACCCACCCCTCCACTGTGTTCCAACCTGGTCTAGGCATCTCTCCTTCTTCCTGTCTCAGTCCGTCATCCCCTGTCCCCTGGCCAGAGTCCTGGATTCCTCTCCTGACCACCCTACGGCCGCAGCCCTGGTCCAGCCCAGTCCCCTTCCTGGGCTACCACACAGCAACCCGAGGACTCTTCTAACTCTGACTATATCCTTTCCCTGATTCAAATCTACTGCTCTCAGGAAAACCCAAAGCCCAACACTGGCGTGACTCAGGCCCTGCATGACCAGGCTCCGCCAACTTCTCCAGCTTTATTACTCAACCCACTACCATCGCACTGGCCTTCTCTCACTTCCTCAAAGGTGTCAGGAACCCCCCTCTAGGCCTTTGCCCCTGCGATTGCTCTCCTTTCCATCCTCGATGAACTAACTCCACTCATCCTTCAGGTCTCAGCTCAAATGTCACCTCCTCTAAGAAGCCTTCTGATTCCTCCCATTGTCTCCCCACCTGCCCCACCCCCAGGCCCCAGGTCCCCTATGTCCTGCTCTCAAGGCTGTAGCTCTCATTTTAGAATGCCATTCTCTCCCTCTATTGTCTTATTGCAAGTCCACCTCTCCCACAGCAAGACAGGACACCACATCAGTCTTGGTCACCTCTGTGTCCCCTGTGCTGGGTACAGCACGGGGCCAGGCATAATGAAAATCTGTCATTTGCATGAATGAATGCTTCTGCTCTTCCTCCATGCTTTTGTATGTGCTGGTCTCTGCCTGGAACTCCCTTCCCACTCATCTTATGAGTCTCAGCTCAGACATCCCGTCTTGCAGGAAGTTTTCCTGGACACCCCCCACCAATCAGGCTTGATCAGGTGCCTCCTCCTATTCCCGCAGCCCTGGGTCTTCCCCAGTCCTAGCCCTGACCTCTCTGGACTGTCACTTCTGGTGACAGGTCTGTTACCCACTACCCTATGTGCTCTGGGGAGCAGGACTGAGGCTGTTTAGTCACTGCTGTGGTCCCGGCAGCGCCCAGCACCGGCCTCCAGCTTTCAGTCTCAGCGTAGAGAACAGTTTCTAGATTTTGTGTCTGTCCATCAATTCCCAGGGACTTGAAAGCTCTCTCCTTTCCTCCCAGCCCTCAGGGCTTTGCCTGGAGCAGTGATAACACTACTATAACCTGGTAACTAATGAGTACTTAATTAGTGCAATGCCCATCCCTCGTTCAAGCCTCAGTATAACCCTATGTAATAGGCGCGATTGTCCTCCCATTTTATACACAAAGAAACAGAGGTCCAGAGACACTAAGCCATGCATGAAGGTCACACAGCAGTAAGCAGTGGCAGGCTCTGAGCGAAGGAGCGACCTGCCTCCAGATCTGCTCACGACTCACCATGGCCGTCAAAGGTCCCGTCCAGCGTCGCCAACGTGCCCCGCCCGCTGAACTCCTCGGCCTGATCTCCTAGGGCCTCCCGCACAGCCTTGTGCCCAACCAGGACCACCACGCGCCGCCAGGGTCCCAGGTACACAGTGAACACTGGTCCGTACTTCTTACTCAGCTGGGGGCAGGGAGGGAGAAGGGGGCAGGTGCTGTGGGGGGCAGGCAGCTGGTCTTCCAGTCGAAGTGTCTCCATCACGGTCCCTGTCACTGAATGAGCCATCTGCTCCCTCTACGAAGAATCCCCTCCTTACCCCAAACAGAAACAGCCCCTTGGGAGGCTCAGTTCTCTTTCTGCACCAGGATCCCAGGCTCCTTCCCCATGGAGCCCCCTCCCCTAACACACTCTCTAGTCCCCACCCCCTTACCTCCTGCAAAGCCCTAACTTCTGACTCTGGGACAACCCAGAATCCACCCCACTCCCCCAGCTCAGACATATGGCAGCAAAAATGGGCAGCTGCAGCTTTGGTCTCTCCTAATTCCTCAGTATCCAGCCCCCCCCGCCCCCACCCCCAAACTAGCCACCCTTTTCAAGCACTGCTAAACTCTCCAATTCTGGAGCAGATACTGCTGAGCACCTGTCCCATCTCTCCCCAAGACCCCCACCCCCCTTGCCACGTTCTGGAAGTCCCCCAGACTCCTTCTGAATGGCGACCCTCTGGCCTCTGCCCACTGCCCCCACCCCCCAAAGGCTGACAAAGCCTCAGACTTCTTTCCTGCTCTCCTTCCCTTCTCTGAACTTCCAGCTCTCTCCTGGCTGAGCTCCAACTGCCTGATTCTCTGCAGACAGATTCCTGGAACCCTCCAGCCTCTGTTTCCACTTCCCCCCCAGGGCTCCTCCCCCCTTTCTTGTCTGCCCCCTCCTTGGGATAGCTCACCTGAACCTCCCAGCTACCTCTCCCCCTGGGACAAGCCAGCCACCATCACACCATCAGCTTCTCTTCTGCTTGGGGACTCTGGTCTTATTTAGCTTTGGTCCCCTGCTCCCACCACCTTCCCAGGATTCTGTGGGCCCCTCTGCCCGGACTCGTGCCACCTGATCCCGCTAGGAGGTCTCTGCCCCTCCTAGCCCTGCCCGCTCCAGCCTTTCTCCCCAGGCACCCCTCTCCTTCTCAGCCCTGGTTCGCTGCTCCCGCCTCCTCTAGGATACCCGAAAGCCTCTCTGCCCTGGCACTCCGGCTTCTCTCCCTGGGGACCCCTCCCTCTCTAGGCCCTGGACCCCCGCCCGCGGCGAGGGCGTCCTGGTGGCCCCTCACCCGCAAGAGCCCCCAGTACAGCGCCCCGGGCCGGAGCTGCAGGAGGTTCCCCAGCAGTGGCAGCGGCGCGGGCCCGGGGGGCAGGTGGCCTCGGGTCCGGGTCCGGGACAGCGCCAGCGTCAGCAGCAGCAGCAGCACCAGCAGCAGCGCCCAGGTGCCGGCCGCCTCCATCTCGCCAGGTTGGCTGCTTCTCGCTCCCAGACGCTGCACGCGGCGGGGCCGGTTGGGGGCGGGAGCCCGCGGCTCCCTGCCCAAGGATATCTGGCGGAGGGGGCGGGGCAGCTAGCCCCTCCCCCTGCCTTTAGGCAGCATGCTCTCCCCGCCGCCGGATTTCTTTCTCCCAGACCGCCGCCGCCACCTGGTGTCGGGGCCACACTCGCGAACGGATGTCTCAGGTCACCCAGGCTCAGGGTGCGGAGATAGAGCCTTGGGATCCAGGTAGGGCGTGGGCAAACAGGAGCAACCTGGAAGCCAGAGACTTTGGCTGCCTCGGGAGGCCACACCCTGTGCCTGGCGGTGACTTTCACCCCGCCCCCCGCCTCCCGGCTCCCCCCGCAGCTCCTATCTCCCTCCTGCCTGTAATCGTGGTGTGCGTTCACGTGTGCTTTCGCGTGTGCGTACGTGTGTGTTGTCTTTGAGCCGATTTCCTCCAGCATCTCACATCTTCACCGCACCCTAGGAGGAAGGACTTGACCTTTAACAACAAAGAATCTGAGGTTCAGAGGGGTTAATGGGTTGGCCCTAGGCCACATGGCTAACAAGTAGCAGAGCTGGGATTTGAACTCAAGCCAATCTGAATGACTGATTGAATCATTCATTCACTTATCAGTGTAGTATAGTGGTTAGGAACATGTCTGAAGCCAGACTCCTTGAGTTCACAGCTTAGCTTCTCTGTGCCTTTGTTAACTTGTTTGTAAAATAGGGATAGTTTTCAGGGTTCATTAGGTCTGTATGTGTACACAATTTAAAACAGGGCCAGATGCATATATAACAAGTGTTAAATAAATGTTAGCTAATATTCTTTCACTAGTAATTGTTATTGAGGTCTAACTATAAACTAGACTTTGTCCTGGACCTGGAGGTGCAGCTATGAATAACAGAGAAGGGTGCTGCCCTCCTTGAGCTCATATCCACGCTCAAACGAAGTCGTAAATTAAGATAATTTCAGGTAGTGCAAAGGCCTGCCAGGGAAATGGGCTTGTTGAGAAAGAAGGTTGCAAAGTCAGGTCTGTGCTGTTTGGTTCAAAGCTGTATCCCCAGTGTCTAGGGCAGTACCTGGCACACAGGAAGTGCTCAATAAGTATTTGTTGCATCAGAGATTGAGTGTAGGAGATGAGGTCGGCAGGGACCAGTCTCGCAGGCCCCTGGAAAAGACTTTGCATTTCATTCTAGCACGAAGGCAGCAGTTGAAGGGTTTCCAGTTCCTTGGTTTGCTTTGCTGTTTCATTTAACATTTTCTTATGAAAACTTTCAAACCTACAGTAGACACCTGTATATTCACCACCTAGATTCCACCAGTAACATTTTACTATCCTTGCTTTGTTTACATATGTATTCATCCTGTCCCATCAGTCCATCTAATTGTTTTGGATGTGTTTCAGAGACAGTTGCAGACACCAGTACATTTCACTCCTAACTGTCTCAGCATGCATTGCATTTGGAAGAGTTCAATATTTGTTTACAGGTAATTCTCCCACCTCCCTGGGTAAATTGACATACAATGCAATGCACAAATCATAAGTGTATTTTAGATGAATTTTGACAAATGCATACATCTGTGTGACCCAAACTCCTGTCAGGACAGAGAGTTACCGTCATCCCAGGAACCTCCCTCAAGCCCCTTCCCAGTCAATGCCCTCCCCACCCCCCACTGTGTTGATCACCTCCCTCATGGAGATTAGTTTTCTCTTTGCATTTAAAGACCTTTCTGGCTGCCCTCCGGTGAAGGAATTGTGGGGACAGGGAGCAGAGGAAGAAAAAGCAGGGAATTTAGTGGAAGGTCCAGGCATTGACGACAGTGGCTTGGAACTGGGCCGGCGGCGGTGGGGAGAGAAAGAAATGGATACATTTGGGATGTATTTGGAGATAGAGCCGGAGGATTTGCTGACAAGTTGTGTTTGAAGGCAAAGGAAGGAATACAAGTTAATTCTGTCAAATAAAAGCAAATCCTGTCTTAGCTAAGGAGAGATTTCATTCCAAAAGACTATTGCAAAGACAGCGAACAACACCAGAATCTGATAATCCAGAAGGACGGAACTTTTTCCCTACTGCTAGATTTTTTTGTCCTGGGCAGGTGGAAAGATGGCAGCACCTTTTACAGAGGTGAGGAAGGAGATAAGGGAAGGTATGGGAACCAATTGGGGTTGGGAAGCTGGTGGAGCAGGTTTTGCAAGAGGGAGGGGCATCAGGAATTCTCTTTTGTCCCCATGAAGTTTGAGATGCCTGTTAGCTGTCCCAGGAGAGGAGCTGAGTGGGCAGAAAGGTAAGAGATTGGATTTGGGAGCTCCTGGAACCCTCCAGAACTAAGAACTAGCACCTACATCATGGCAACAAAGTGTATCCCAGCCTCCCTGCCTCTCCTTCCCCTGTTGCAGGGCACACCCCTTGGATGTCAGAGGCTGGAATCAAGACCAAAGGAGACTGCAAGGAGCATTCTGGCCATGTTTTGAGGGAAGGGGTTCTCGCCTAGAACAGAAGTTAGAAGATTGCAGGGGCTGGTCGGGTGGCGTAGTAGTTAAGTTTGCACTACGCTTCAGATCCCAGGCGTGGACCTGCACACTGCTTATCAAGCCATGCTATGGCAGGCGACCCACATATAAAGTGGAGGAAGATGGGCATGGATGTTAGCGCAGGACTAATCTTCCTCAGCAAAGAGGAGGATTGGCAACAGATGTTAGCTCGGGGCTAATCTTCCTCACAAAATAAAAAAAAAAAAGATTGCAAAGGTTCTAAGAGTCTAATGTTTTAAGATGACTTTGTTTGCAAGATCCTATAGATAAGGAAACTTAAAACTTCCCAAGATTTTAAAGATTCCAAGGCAAGACTTCCCACTACCCTGGTAATAAAATTCGAGCCCCTCATGCTGGCCTACAAGGTCCTTTGGGGTTGTTACTGCACCAGGTCCGTTTTTGCCCACCACCCAGACAGCCAATCACCCAGATCACAAGATTGCAGCAGAGAGAGGGTTTAATCAGAAGGCAGCCAGGTGAGGAAAATGGGAGAACAAGTCTCAAATCTGCTTCCCCGAAAATAGGGACTCAGGGATATTTATGAAGTTCAGGGCAAGGTGGTCTGAAATGTGGAGATAGATGATTGGAGGTGAGGAGAGGTGAGGTAATTGATGATCTGCGCAAGCGTAGTCAGACTTCATGCCTCTTCATAGGCCACATGTTCACAAAATGGCGGCATTGGCATGACCTGAGGGTGGAGTTTTAGCCTTTTGACATCAAAAGGTCACTTATTGGACATCTGCGTGGGCCTAGTTGATGGGTTGGTGGTCCCACCCAGCCTGAAGTGGACAAGGGGCTCTAATTCCTGAAAAACAGCTCCAACTTCCATTACAATGGTGACTCAGGCTTCAAGGAGATGTTATCTATAGGAACCTAGTGGGAGTCATATAGCACATTGCCTAAACAGCACAGTTAACAATGGGCAGGGGATCAACTAAAAGCTACAATCAGTAATTGCAAAAAGGAAAAAAACTTTAGTTCCTAGCTACTTAATCATCAATGGCTAGCTCTTTGCTGGTTTCAGGATCTGTCCACTGGCTGCTGTGTTTGACATCATCTTGGCCCACTCTGTTCTCTGCTCATGATACTCCACTCATGCTGGCCTTCTTTTAGGTTCTTGAATGCCAAGCCAGCCTCAGGGCCTTTGCACTAGCTCTCTGCCTGAAATGCTTGGTCTGGAGATTGAGGTTGGCTCATTCTCCCGTTCCCAGCTCAAAGGCCAGTCCCCTCCAGAAGAGACTTTGCCAGACCACACAAGCTGAATTAGCTCCCTCCCCCATTTCAGACCCCCTTATTAATTTATTAAATAAGATATTTAATAAATATTCAATGAGGGGGCCAGCCTGGTGGCGTAGCGGTTAAGTGCATGTGCTCGGCTTCGGCGCCCCGGGGTTCACAGGTTTGGATCCCAGGTGCGCACTGATGCACCGCTTGTCAAGCCACGCTGTGGTGGCGTCCCATATAAAGTAGAGGAAGATGGGCATGGATGTTAGCCCAGGGCCAATCTTCCTCAGAAAAAAGAGGAGGATTGGCATCGGATGATGGCCAGGGCTGATCTTCTCCACACACACTGTACACACAAAAAAATTCAATGAGAATATTTTTGAAGCACTTACAGTAGTGCCTGGCATATCATAAACTTTGAACATGTTTGTTGAATACATAAAAATTTTTCTTCATAGCCTCTTGTCACCACCTGAAAGCATCTTATATATTGATTTATATTTTTAGTCTGCCTTCCCCACCAGAATGTTCTCTCCATGAGGGCAGGGATTTCGTCTGTTTGGTTCACTGCTGTATCCCCAGTGGCTGGCACACAGTGGGTGCTCAATAAATACTTTGTTGAATGAATGATTTGAATACAATTTGCTAGTCCCTCAAATTCATCTAAAGAGAAATCAAGGTTTCAGAATTCTCAAGTCGAAAGAGCAAAGACGCAGAGGTTCCCAACATAGATTTCACAGTAACTGAGTCATCTCTGGTGGATCTTGGCCTCTTCTCACCCTGGGTCAGGAGATGCCCATATATCTTGTTTAGCAGCTGACAGCTGACCCCCTCCACCCCGCACCAGCTACTTCCCATCAGATACCCTCTGATGTGGGCTGGGTGGGCCAGAGTGACCCTCTTTAAATTTAGCCTTCTACCATGGATTTTCTCAGACCACTCTGGAGGCTGCCAACCCCAGGGTTCCAGCAGGCGGAGTGGTGGATGGGTTCTAGAAATTGCTGGGGGGTTGATTTTGCTTGGGATGCCCAAGCCTTATGTTTCTAGAGCTTGACTTGCTGTCTAGGGATGAGCCATGGCT